ATTTCTATAATATGTAATAAAACTTGTATGGGAAGCTTAAGCTTTCCTTAAAACTTTTCACCATCTCATAAAATTTGTTACCATATTGAATGAATATAATCTTAGTGTTGTTGCTGTAATGATTTTTTGTGTCATGGCGCTCCACCCTGATCAAATTTCTCTGACCAGGCGTGTGTGTTTGTCTCAAAGTGCCAGTGTTCTATATAGACACCTGAAGTTTGGGGCGTAATCATACATACCCAGGCATGCTAGCCTTTGTTTATTCAGTAAACCCATTGAGTTTATTGCCTCCCCCTCTCCCTAGCACGTTTTCCTGTTTGTATGACTTTCTGTGTCACAGTTATATTGGGGACTGTTAAATACCTGTGTCAATTTCAAATTCAATATTTTGTTTATAGAAACAGTGGCAACTCCCCAAAGGTCAAAGGTCTTTGTGCTATATTAATTCACTTAAGAGTAGGTAAAAGAATAGCATTACTTACGCAGACTGTAGAGTGTGACATTACTATGTGACCTTGCACTGTTTTATCAGAGTGTGACTTGGTACTGTTTTAACTTTGTAACATTCACCTGCATGTCCTAGTGTTGTTTTATCTGTCACATGGCCTGTTAACCTGATGTTGTGCCTATTATTTGTGACCTAGTGTTATTTTATCTGTCACATCCCCTGTTAACTTGGTGTTGTACCTAGTATATGTGACCTAGTGTTGTTTTATCAGTCACATGGCCTGTTAACCTAGTGTTGTATCTAGTATATGTGACTTATTGTTTCTTTATCTGTCACATCCCCTGTTAACCTGGTGGTGTGCCTAGTATATGTGACTTATTGTTGCTTTATCTGTCACATCCCCTGTTAACCTAGTGTTGTACCTAGTATATGTGACTTATTGTTGTTTTATCTGTCACATCCCCTGTTAACCTGGTGGTGTGCCTAGTATATGTGACTTATTGTTGCTTTATCTGTCACATCCCCTGTTAACCTGGTGTTGTACCTAGTATATGTGACCTAGTGTTGCTTTATCTGTCACATCCCCTGTTAACCTGGTGGTGTGCCTAGTGTATGTGACCTAGTGTTGTTTTATCTGTCACATCCCCTGTTAACCTGATGTTGTACCTAGTATATGTGACTTATTGTTGCTTTATCTGTCACATCCCCTGTTACCCTGGTGGTGTGCCTAGTGTATGTGACCTAGTGTTGTTTTATCTGTCACATCCCCTGTTAACCTGGTGGTGTGCCTAGTATATGTGACCTAGTGTTGTTTTATCTGTCACATCCTCTGTTAACCTGGTGTTGTACCTATTATATGTGACTTATTGTTGCTTTATCTATCACATCCCCTGTTAACCTGGTGGTGTTCCTATTATATGTGACCTAGTGTTGTTTTATCTATCACATCCCCTGTTAACTTGGTGTTGTACCTAGTATATGTGACTTATTGTTGTTTTATCAGTCACATTGCTTATTAACCTTGTGTTGTACCTATTATTTGTGACCTAGTGTTGTTTTATCAGTCACATGGTCTGTTAACCTGGTGTTGTACCTAGTATATGTGACCTAGTGTTGTTTTATCAGTCACATTGTCTGTTAACCTGGTGTTGTACCTAGTATATGTGACTTAGTGTTGTTGTATCAGTCACCTTGCTTATTTACCTGGAGCTGTAACTATTATATGTGACCTAGTGTTGTTTTATCAGTCACATGGCCTGTTAACCTGGTGTTGTACCTAGTATATGTGACGTAGTGTTGTACCTAGCATATGTGACCTAGTGTTGTACCTAGTATATGTGACTTAGTGTTGTTTTATCAGTCACATTGCTTATTTACCTGGTGTTGTACCTATTATATGTGACCTAGTGTTGTTTTATCAGTCACATGGCCTGTTAACTTGGTGTTGTACCTAGTATATGTGACCTAGTGTTGTACCTAGTATATGTGACTTAGTGTTGTTTTATCAGTCACATCGCTTATTTACCTGGTGTTGTACCTATTATATGTGACCTAGTGTTGTTTTATTTGTCACATCCCCTGTTAACTTGGTGTTGTACCTAGTATATGTGACCTAGTGTTGTTTTATCAGTCACATGGCCTGTTAACCTGGTGTTGTACCTAGTATATGTGACCTAGTGTTGTACCTAGTATATGTGACCTGGTGTTGTTTTATCTGTCACATCACCTGTTACCTTGGTGTTGTACCTATAATATTTGACTGAATGTTGTTATATCAATGTTTAACTGTTGTTGCAGGCTTTAGTGAAACTGAAGTAAGGTACAAACATACAGAGCCCAAGCCTGTCAAAACACATGACATCCGCAAAAAGGAGAAGCGGAAGAAGACGAGCTTTAAACTACAGGAGAAGAAACCAGAGTTCTTTGGTAAGTGTCAAAGTGGGTTGATGCTATTTTCTTTTCATCTTAACTTAATTTATTATCAAAGACATGGTAAAAAGACTGAACTTTGAGTGTATTTTAGTGCAGTTCTTGGTTATTAGTTGTACACAATTAATTGGTAATGCATTACAAAGCCAGTTGTCACCATTACAATCTTCGTGATTTCAGATGACGGAAGAGAGGATAAAGTAGCAGACAAACCAAAGAAGATGACCCGAGTGATAGCTTCCAGTTCAAGGAAACCTGGCAAGCAAGAGGTGCAGAAAAAAGGTATGTTCTGTAGACGGGACATTTCTGGTCAGTAGAATAATATGTAATGCTGTCTATATGTGTTTGCAAACATGCTTTTACATCTATTATCTTGTGTGCAGACAGCAGTCAAGGAACACTGCAGATGTCAAATAATGTATGATTTAAAAAGTTCAACAAAAACAATCACAGTCTTGATATTTTGATGTTTTTTAATGTGAAACATTGTCATAGCTCATATGTTGATCTTTCAGTTGCACATACATATACTTGTATATAATGATGTTGTGGTGTTGATTGCTGTAACAGTTCTTCAAATAATGGTATTTTTCACCAAAAGAATTCATGAAATTCTAGGAGAATGTGGTTCCTAACAATAAAAATATTCTGTTTTCTATTTTGTGTTTATTCAATTCAAAATCCTCTGGTTGTTTAGTAATGAGAAAAAAAGTCCTGAGTACTTCACCAAGGTATCTAAGGAATTTTATATGTTACTTTTTGATGTTTCTGTATAAAATGTATTGATTCTGTCATGTTGTGTTGGAACAATTGTTATTCCAGCAAAAAGTGCATTAGTCTGGTGCTCTTTCATGAAGGCGTCATGTTCCCTACCCTTTCTGTGTACCTGTGTTTGTTCTATTGATCCTCCTCAGGGTTCTGTCCGATTACAAATATTAATTTTGTTGTAAATGATTTTTGCAACAATTTATTCCAAAATGAATTGACCGCATTCTTGAGGTACTTCAGTAAGAGTATTGTCACTGTCAGCTCATTGATATTGTTACTGGGATAATATATATGCTATACAAGTCTACTGTAGTTAACTGTGATGAAGTGCAGAACCTGGTACATTTGTTGGATGTCTCACAATCAAGAGATATGACCCTCAATTTGTTGGGGCAAATGTTCTTATGGCCTGAACAATTGTGCTTAATTTAAGCCAGTTAAAAAATGAAACATTGACTACAATGGCCATCTTCGACAATTGGGTCTTGTTCGTTTATGTAGTAGATATCTTATTCTGCTTTATGTTCAGGTCACAACATTTGTTCTCCCCTTATACACAGCAAATGTCTGTTCTATATTTTTTACAAGCTCCCTATATGAACAATCTCTCCCTCTTCCCTAAACATCTTAAACACAGCATGTCTCTGTACTAATCTCCCTACAAGAACATGAAGACAACCCCGGTCCCCTCAACAAGCTGAACATTACTTGTTTCTGATACTGTAAAGGTGAAGGTTTCTATGATCTTTTACGAACTATACTATTGATGTTGTGACCTCTATGACGAGGTTGTAAGGTGGCGTCAGTCATTATACTCCTGCCAAAAACAAATGTTGACCTTGTAGGTATCGTTAAACCTCCACCACAAATATTGATATTAACTTAATGTGCACAACGTGTAAAGGTCCCCCTAGTAAGGTATTGCCAGGGGTTTAGTTCCTGTACCTATAACAGTGGTTTTGAGTGACTGCCAGATGCAGGTCTACATGTGTGTATATATATATGGATACTACGGGACTATAGGTTTGTAATGTAGACAGTCTGTATGTCACTTTAGCCGAAACATGTCTCATATACTGTCACATACAATAGCTATTTTTTGTATGCAAGAACTGTTTTTGCTGACAGAATGTTGCGTGTTAAATTGGAGTCTCGTGCCCTGCTATATCCAGAGTTATGGCCCTTTGTTCACGGCATACTTTGTCTTGGGCATATCACCTCTACTTTTTGCCGAGTTTCTGTAGAGGTGGAGATTATGGTTTGGTTACAATGCACTGACTTGATTAATATTTCTATATCATGGAAGTGTTGATAGAGTATGCCTCCTTTCTGATTCCTTCCTGGTTTGGTCATGTTGACTGGTGTTATTTATTAGGCCAGAGAAACAACAATATTATGAATGAAATAAGTTTTTTTCTAGTTATGGTTACACTGCTTGTTACATTCATCAGCATCCTACCATCTCTCTGCTACATCTACCTTTACTATACTTAATGCTCTTTTAACATAACTGATAATTTATTCAGTGGTTTTCTAGGTCCAGGATCCATGGAATTGGGAATTTTTCACACAGTAAAATGCAAAATTGCACCATTTTTTCCAGAAATTGCCCATAAAATTTATTACACCTTCCAATTGGAAATTTTATGACAACAAAATTGGAATCAAAGCCAAATTTTCCAAGGGAAACAGGGCTGTTATTCGGCCCCAAATGTTATTGTAGGACAATCCCTGTTATTGTCGGGTTTAACTTCAGATAAAATTAAAAAAAAACATCTCACATAATGGATTAAGTTGTTTTGTGGTGTTCAATACAAAGTTTTGCTTTCATGTTACAATAAGTGTCTAAAATTGAACCATTCCAAAAAACTTCAAAAGCGTGTAGTCTGGAATTATATTTAAATGAACTCTAATAAAGTAGGTCAATATTTTGATATATGTTTCCTGTATGTTAATTGAATAACTAAATAGAATGTATGTTATAACTGCCATTATTCCTGTTTGTACATGTCATAAATGCACATATTTGCATGTGGAACATCAATTACCACAGCTCATTACAAGGTAAACACCTATAAACTGTTTACAAATCATACGCACTAATAAACCACCTGTAATTCTGTTAATCTGTAGGTAACATTACAATTAGCATTTATAACATGATCTGTAAACATATGCTTTTATGGTTTAAAAAATAAAAGTTGTCAGATTGATTATAAGTAGACAAAGATGAAGACCCCCTGGAAGTGAAGATATATATATGGGTATGATAGGGGCTGGTGACAAGTGCTCCATACAATCTCAGACAAGTCACTGGAACACAGTTCTCCCAGGTAAACACCTGTAAACTGTTTACAAATCATACGCATCATATTGGAAATCACAACTTGTATCAATGACTTCTGTCATAATTGTACAGGTTTTTCTGTATTCCATAACATCGTACATTGTTGTGATCCTGACATAATGTGAGATTTCATTTGTGGTGTTGATATCCGGGAACTGGTTTCTGTAATTTCCTTCCCATGGTACTGCATGTAATTATGGTAATGTTTACTCCAGTATTATACAATCGTTAATACTGGTCTCCCCATGATTCTACTGCACCAACCAAGAATTATGTCTTGAGGTCAATGATGTTTTTCTTGGTGAAATAAAATCATGGATTGACTGAAATTAGTATGCTACAATATAGCAAAATAAATGGAGATCTATTTATGAACACGACAGGTTTAGCTTGCGAAACAATGTTCGTAGTGTCTCTGGGTTTGCTTAAAGGCAAATATGAAATAATTGGTGGTAGAGGTCAACTAGTTGGTGGTAGAGGTCAACTAGTTGGTGGTAGAGGTCAACTGGTTGGTGGTAGAGGTCAACATCAGACAGGTGTTGCCCTCTATAACCTAAACTTTAAGTGTCCGACTTACCTGTCTGATGTGTTGTATCTTCACTAGAAATCATCACCACATCGTCCTGGAGGGCGGGTCAAGAGTTGGTGTTAAGGGAACTTGGACCGGTCAAAGTCCGCAGAACATCACAGACCTCCCAAACAAGTAAGTTCACCAGTATCAGCAGGTTATAGGGAGGGAAACTCTTGCACTTTTGATTATCTGTTATAGGTGGAATGTCTTTTATAATATTGAACTTTGCAACTAAAGTACACTTGTGTCCTATATGAAAGTTACATATTGGTGTTTTTCACCTCATACAGTTACCGTTTCTAAACATGAATCGAATCATACCGTTTTATATTACTATTGCATTTTATTTGTTGAAAATTTTCCATTAATGTTTTGTGTAATCTGGTTCAAATTTCATTCCTTTCAAAGAAGATAAAAGGTTGTGAGCATTTAAAACCAAAATGAAATAACAACTGTAAGATAAGATCCTAATTGATTCGTTTGTGCATGCTGGCCTGTTGGTAATTACACTCTTAGATATGTTGTAAGGAGGGAGGCGGTGTGACGTCACATATAATTGGTCCTTATTTGGAGATTAATTTATATTTGTACCTACACATTTAGAATCCATTAACTTGGATTAAAGGTTGGTCTCCATATCTTCTATGTGGTTAAAATTACACAAATCTGTCTCTGTGAAATACGAGGCTGTTCTCAGACTTAATTCATTCATTTTCATACTGCATTCCCTTCTTTAATTTTGTTGTTAAAGAAATTAGTTTAAAGATTACAATATCTTGAATTTCAAAAGGAAAAATTTCTTGAGAAATTTCTTAATGATAAATAACCTATAATCTTCTCAAAAATTATAACTTTATATAAGATTTTTTTATTCCCTTTAAAACATACATTTATTATGTTAAGAACATCTTGAAAGGAAACAAATGGCAAGGCTGTTAACATGGTACGTTTTGAAAGATAATTATTGATTTCAAATTTATTGTTACAGCAAAAAATGATTTTTTTAAATTTAGTTTACCGTTATTAAAAACTAGTTAGAAACAAAAACAAAATGATTTTTGACAGTATCTATGGTAAGCAATTTAAGCCATTATGTTCTGTGTATAAATAATTGTGGAGCAAGTAGGAAGAGTTCGATATTTTATAAGGCTTTATTGTCGCCTGAGCAGGCCAATAGATTTCAGCTTAGAATGGAGTTATTTTGGACGCAGTGGTTAAACATTAAAAACAAATTGATCACTGATGTAATGATAAGAATTTGGGTCTCAGTATAATGCACCAGTTTGTGTAGTGCTGCCTTTGATAGGTGGCTGCAGATTATAGTTCAATTAATACTGTGTGTGGGATCTCATGTGTAGTAAATGTTCCACCATGGTAGAAAGGTATTTCTGTGGGGAACATGACTCGAAACATTTTTCAATCTTTGAAAGATACTTCTATACTGGTTGTGTGTAGTAAATGTTCTTCAATCTTGATACTTCTATACTAGTTGTGTGTAGTAATTGTTCTTCAATCTTTATACTCCTATACTTGTTGTGTGTAGTAATTGTTCTTCAATCTTGATACTCCTTTACTAGTTGTGTGTAGTAATTGTTTTTCAATCTTGATACTCCTATACAAATAATGTACTAGTTGTGTGTAGTAATTGTTCTTCAATCTTGATACTCCTTTACTAGTTGCGTGTAGTAATTGTTCTTTAATCTTGATACTTCTATATTAGTTGTGTGTATTAATTGTTCTTTAATCTTGAGACTCCTTTACTAGTTGTGTGTAGTAATTGTTTTTCAATCTTGATTCTCCTATACAAATAATGTACTAGTTGTGTGTAGAAATTGTTCTTCAATCTTGATACTCCTTTACTAGTTGTGTGTAGTAATTGTTCTTTAATCTTGATACTTCTATATTAGTTGTGTGTATTAATTGTTCTTTAATCTTGATACTCCTTTACTAGTTGTGTGTAGTAATTGTTCTTTAATCTTGATACTCCTTTACTAGTTGTGTGTAGTAATTGTTCTTCAATCTTGATACTCCTATACTAGTTGTGTGTAGTTAATGTTCTTCAAGCTTTGGTATTCAGTAAAATCGTTACTGTTTTTGTGGAATGAAAACATCAATATTATATTTTTTGGCTGTTTAATCGAATACTGTTTCCTATCAGTCTGAGTTAGCTAACCACATTTCACATGTAGAAAGTAAGATTAGGAAGGAAATTACACCTAACATATATAATCTTAAGTCAATACTATGGTTTGAGATAAGGGATGTTTGAATAATGCTTGTCATTTTTTGGATTGGATAATATCATTGCAATATATCATAGGCAATAAATAAAATGTGTTGTTAAGATTTTCTGACAGGTATAAAAACACTGAGTATTTTAAATTAAAAGTGTGATTAAGTGTGAAATTGTATTGTCCAGAAAGGTGCAGGCAAATAAATCAATTTTCAATAATAAAAGAATAATAGTTATTTGACATTTTGTTAGATTTTCAAAAATAGATTATTGGCGTAGTTAATTAATATAAAAGTGTACTGAATTCAGCCTGTAGAGACTTGCAGAGGTAATTACCACCAAATTGGATACAGCTCTATTGTAATACATTTCCTTATTTGGAAAGTCCATTAAAAAGAATTATTGAAATTGTGTCATTGAATATAATGTAAGTTTGGTGTAAACATTTCAATTGTAAGGTTCTTAGTCTGGAATTGTAACTCTGTGAATATCTCAACACGTTCTGTAGTGCTAGACAAATTCCAACATTCATAGCCCCAATAACTCCTCAATGTTAGACAGGAACACTCTGAAGAATATTTTTTACGGAATTTATATGAATGATTTGTTTATATTCAGGTGATCTTCCAGAGCAAGCCATGCATGCAGCAGACATTGAGGATGAACAAGATGCTGATTTCCAGATGCAAGACTTTGAGGCCAACAAGGAGCATGCATCCTCTACAGCAGCCGAGCTTGAGAGAGCACGTGTACTGTCTGAGGAGGCACGCAGGGTCCTCAGTGACCTCAATTACGGTACGCATCTCATCTACACTACCTCCGGTATTCATTGTAGTCTCAGTGACCTCAACTACGGTACGCATCTCATCTACACTACCTCCGGTATTCATTGTAGTCTCAGTGACCTCAACTACGGTACGCATCTCATCTACACTACCTCCGGTATTCATTGTAGTCTCAGTGACCTCAACTACGGTACGCATCTCATCTACACTACCTCCGGTATTCATTGTAGTCTCAGTGACCTCAACTACGGTACGCATCTCATCTACACTACCTCCGGTATTCATTGTAGTCTCAGTGACCTCAACTACGGTACGCATCTCATCTACACTACCTCCGGTATTCATTGTAGTCTCAGTGACCTCAACTACGGTACGCATCTCATCTACACTACCTCCGGTATTCATTGTAGTCTCAGTGACCTCAACTACGGTACGCATCTCATCTACACTACCTCCGGTATTCATTGTAGTCTCAGTGACCTCAACTACGGTACGCATCTCATCTACACTACCTCCGGTATTCATTGTAGTCTCATGGACAAAGCTTTACCGACACCTTCAATACATCGGCTCCAAATTGTATCCTTAGTTATGTTATTTCTATTAAACGTATTTGATATACATGGATGAAATTGCAAGCATTTTATCTGTACCTGTTAGCTACGATGTTTGATGATTTTGTTCTCTTCTCCAGGTTCAGAAGATGATGATGACAAGGGTAAACATGGTGATGGTGCAAGACATCGAAGTCACAAGTCAGCAACGAAAAGAAAAGCTAGATCTACAGGTAGGGTAATTAAAGGGAGTAGCTGCCCCATTTACCAGTAAACTGTAACCCTTCTTTTAAAAATAAATGATATCAATAAAATGTTCAGTAGTTAGGTGCTTCAGGGACACGGTTGACACCCTCCCATTGGTTTGATTATAGAAAGGTTGGCCTCGGAGGGATGTTGTTTATCAGCTTAAGCTGCCTACATTGTTACAATGAACCTCCAGTTGTGTGATGGCATAAACCTGCCATGTACAAATTTGTCTCCTCCATTAAAACTAGATACGGTATAATGTCCATTTATAATGGCAGCTGTCTGTCACAGAGCTTGCTGTCAGGTTCGTGGTCGGATGATTAGTGGATGGCAGAATTATAGTGTTTGCTCAGTGGATTGGATTTAGGGATGATCAATGTGTGTTCATGTTACATGTTTGTGCCGGTGTCTAAATAACAAAATTTGAATAACAATTTTCAGCATTACAAGGAAAGAAATTTGTTATTACTTGTGGTTTAGAACTAATTCCGTTCCGGAAAATACAACTGTCCCAAAGCGAGTTGTCAGGATTATGTTTTTTTCCAATTTAGGATATTTATCTGTGACATTTATCATTTGACGTGTCTGTTGTGTGATCATTACACAAGATCGGTGGCACTAACATTTTCAATCCTCTGTACACAAATTAGAATTCCAAAAATATGGTGATAATAATCGTGATATTTCCTGGAGTTAGAATTGATCGGAGTCAAACTGCAAAATGGAAGACTTTTATCGAGTAAAGAAATGGGAAAGACTGCAACTTACTTCACTATTCTACAGGCCCAGTAGTTATAGTTCCTTAACCCATTCACCCCTAAAGTCACATGTGAATCTTACCAAATCAAAGACTGGGCCAGTCCAGTTGAAATATGTAGGGGTGAATGAGTTAACACAAGAAATAGTTATACCCCTATTAAATTGTCCTTAGTTTATGGAAGGAAATGGGTTTTATAATGTTCTTGTAAACTTTGGCCATAGTTTATTCTAGCAATGAAAAATGTTAAAACTCAATATATTCTATACAGCAATGGTAACTAGAAATGACCGCTTCCATGATAAGTCTGAAGAAAATTACTTAAACTGTTGACTGGTCAGTTATTGAGTTATGAGTAACAGTCCATAATTCAATACTACTGTGAATGGAAAACCTTCAGGTAACCATCATAGATCCTATCACCAAGGTAACATAACCCTTAACCAGAATATATGTTTACTGAAGTCATTCAACATAGATTTGATACTAAGAAGATCTGAACCTTTTTTTGATCATTCAAGTAAATAGTTTATTAGATGTTACCTGGTGTACATGTTGGCGATTGCAAAAATGAAAGATGGACAAATCAGGTTTTCTTCTCTTTTGTGGACCGTATGCTAAATAGTTTCAGCGTCAGGTCCAGCAAAACAGCTATTGCCTATAACCCTTACCAATAATTGTATGCTGTCATAAAGCAAACTCTATCAAACGGTATTAAATCTAGATCCTAAGTCCACTTGATAAGTTAGCTTTGATGTATTTGGGAGGGATATGATGCTGGCTACACTAGACTGCTGATAAACTTCTATCTCACATTCATCGTCTACATTTGGCTACATCTCACTGTATCGTACTCTATACAACAGCTAATCATACATATCTGAAAGTCAATAGTGCTGCATCCAGTGCCAGCTATTGACTAATCCCTTGATCCAGACATTGTTTTATAGGGTTTGGTAGCGTATCATTGCTGTTCTCGGAGTGACGACGGTTGACTATCAACTTCTGTTTGTAATATTTTCACCGTTATAGTAGAATCATAAAGAACATTGTTTTGATATTACTAAATATCTAGCTATCTTATACATATGTTTGTTAAAACTAATACGTTTTGTGTGGTGGAACAATGGAGATGCCCATTGTTTGGCAGACAGTGTGGCCATGTGTGATGATGTGAAGTAGAGGATAAGATGGCCGCACTGCGTGACCGGTATTGTCTGTGGGCCACAGTTATGATGTACATATGATAACACTGATAGGTGTTTACAGGTCTTTATGGAACCTTTATGATCGGTAGTAAAAAATTAAACCTCCACACCCCTTTATTTCTGATAAAACAATCGTCATGTGTCACAGGACCTCGGGGTGCATGTTGGACTATTGTGGTTCTTTACTCCTATCAGTGGTTCTGTTGACAAAATCTTTTAAGTGAGAAAAGTTTTTCTCATCTTTTTCGAGGAAGGAAAAAAGAATTGGCAGGATATTTGGTGATGATAGACATGTCACAGAGTTTGAACTATTGCCAAGTTACCGGCTACATTAATACATAGTCACGCCTAAAATCTAGATAGTATCATCTTGGTGTATTAGTCATTATTTACCTGTAATTGTGGAGTCAAGTTTGAAAAGATCTGTAGAACACAAAATGGCATGTTACAGGTAAGGCGCAGTGCTCCTAAGTTCATTTGGAGACACGTTAGTCTAGCGGTAAAAATGATCTGTAAAACTCAAAATGGCATGTTACAGGTAAGGCGCAGTGCTCCTTAGCTCATTTGGAGGCACGGTAGTCTAGTTGTAGTACGCCAGGCTCGTGACCAAAGGGTTCGAGTCACAGCACGGCACTGTGTTGTATCTTTGAGCAAGATACTTTACTCCACTTGTTCCAGTCTACTCAGCTGTAAATGAGTACGTAGTTGGGCAGTGCTAGAATTGTTGAATGCTAGCTGTTAGCGCCGAAATGGCAGCTCAAGCTGTATGCTCCCTAGGGATTTGAGAAAGATGTTGGCTGGTTGCAAAGGCCCTATAACCACGGATAATAATTTGTGAACTGCTTTGAGACGACCTACTAACTAGCGGTATATAAGAACCTCAAATTATTATTACTTAATTATTTGCTCTACACATGGGACAGGTTATTATAAAGGGATTACCTGATCTAATCAGCAACTAAAGACCTTACCGTGGTCACCTTCAGTTGAAACAATTACCTGGGAAAGTAGATCATCTGGTATAAAGAATTTAAACTTAATTATTAACAGGACAAGGCTAAGAAATGAGCTGTAAAAAACAGGGCAGATAGAGTGTCATAGAGGTATTAGTAGGGAATTGTATGTAGCATGAAAAGAACAAATCATGTATTTTAGAAATTTGAAAAGACAAAAAGATGAATGTTTCGAGATTGACATAATTTTTAGGATCATTGAACTATTTTGTTTCTAATTTAATCTATTTTAATATGACAGATTTGGAGAAACAGCAGCCTATGGCCAAGCACCGTCATTATGACGCTCAAGAAGTGCGACGCTATATTCAGCAACAAAAGCGTGCAAGGCTACGACAACAGCGTGAAGACGAACAAAAACAGAAGGAGGCAGACAAAATCAAACGCAAGCAGTTAGAGGAATTGTATAACAAACAGAAGCAGTCGGCTGTGACTTCAGCCTCACACAATAAAAAGGTCAAGGATGTGCCAGAGGGTCGTGATGGGAGACGTAGTCGTCACCGTGTTGATGAAACTTTTATACATCCAGCTGGACTTGCTGACCTACCACAACATCATCCTTTCCACGAAAATCGACAAAGGATGGTGGTACGTTTAAAAGGAATAGTTTACCTTGTATTTCTGTCAAATGTTTTATCGGGGAATAATTCCTACGATTTGTTTTTGTGTTCATTACCAAATTTCTTAAGCAAAAAACAAATTCATTATTGACCTACAACAAAATTATTTTTTGTATTGTTCATTTAATTACCCAATTAATTAGAGTTGCATAGTGTTCACTGATAGACTCCTCTAACATATTACGACAATATAAAGCAGAATTCTGTGATTATTTTGATCAGGTGAGCAGCGAGTCGGAGAAAGAAAACAGAGGAGTTAATCACATAGAGGAGGATATGAGTGATGATAGTTCAACGATAACGGGCGATTCAATGGAGGAGGAAACCACAGAGACGGCTACCCCAAGGTATAATGTCTACATTTCCCTGATACCCATTAACACACTATAATGTACTCACTACAAAGATGTTGTCAGTTGTTATAGGTGCTTCATCTGGTGCGCTATGTAATATGTTATATATATATATCTTATTTACCTTGGTTATACTATACATTACTTGGTTATGCATTACAGAGACATACATTGGTTGTATACTGGTTAACTTGGTTAGACTCTACACTTAACCTAGTTATACACTAGTTACCTTGGTTATACACCAGACTTACCTTGGTTATACACTAGTTACCTTGGTTATACACCAGACTTACTTTGTTTATACACTAGTTACTTTGGTTATACCCTAGTTACCTTGGTTATACACCGGACTTACTTTGGTTATACCCTAGTTAACTTGGTTAGACGCCAGACTTACCTTGGTTATAGACCAGACTTACCTTGGTTATCCACTAGTTAACTTGGGTATACACCAGACTTATCTTGGTTATACACTATAGTTGCTTTGGTTATACACCAGCCTCACCTTGGTTATACACTGGTTAGCTTGGTTATACACCACTTAACTTTGTTATACACAAGACTCACCTTGGTTATACACTGGGTAACTTGGTTATACACTATAGTTGCTTTGGTTATACACCAGACTTACCTTGGTTATACACCAGTTAACTTGGTTATACACCAGACTCACCTTGGTTATACACTGGTTAACTTGGTTATACACCAGACTTACCTTGGTTATACACTAGTTAACTTGGTTATACACCAGACTTACCTTGGTTATACACCAGTTAACTTTGTTATACACCAGACTTACTTTGGTTATACACTAGTTAACTTGGTTATACACCAGACTCACCTTGGTTATACACTGGTTAACTTAGGTATACACTACATAGACATTCAGTGGTTATACACTAGAGTTAAGTTGGTTATATACAAATTAACTTGGTTATAATCTAAACTTAATCTGGTTTTACTCTAGACTTTTCTTGGTCATGCTCTAGATAGTCATACATTGGTGATGCACTAGTTAACTTGGTTACACACTAGCTAGACTCACTCTGGTAATAGTTCTCATCTTGGTAATATAAGATAACCTTGGTTATGCACAAGTTAAATCCTGTTTGATTCTAGTTGATCTTAACTCTTTGTAGATGTTTCCAGGACTAATAAACCAACAGAACCAATCCACATGATGAATAGGGGGGTCAATTTAAAACTCTATCTTAACAAGGAAAATTAAGCAGGATTGAGGTTGCTTCAATTGATAGAATGATGTCTGTATTCTGTATTTATAACGATCAGAAGTTGATAGAATGATGTCTGTATTCTGTATTTATAACGATCAGAAATGGACCTGATGGAAGTGTTGTCTGTGAATGGTGACAGATAACTAAAACAGTTGTGTGTATTGGGCCTGGGCCTAGTGTCTGTGAATGGTGACAGATAACTAAAACAGTTCTGTGTTTTGGGCCTGGGCCTAGTGTCTGTGAATGGTGACAGATAACTAAAACAGTTGTGTGTATTGGGCCTGGGCCTAGTGTCTGTGAATGGTGACAGATAACTAAAACAGTTCTGTGTTTTGGGCCTGGGCCTGGGCCTAGTCAGACTGCTCTTGTTGTATCTGTGACAAAGCCAGCACTGTGGTCACACATTGACACTCCTTGTCTAGGGTCTAACCAGTAAACAGAAAACATGTACCTAAGAGAAGCAGTACTATCAGATATCGGTCATGGAAATGTTCTGTTGTAGCATGTTAAAACAATGTTGAAAGTTGATAAAATTATTCATGATACTGTATGTAGGACACAGTAAAATACTCAGGCTTTTGAAAATATGCCAGGAGTCTTATTGTACATGCTGATTTTATTTAAGGAGTATAATCTTTAAATAATGCAATGAGAATGTAGTTAAGTTTAATGTCTGTGCTGTTTCAGGGTAGAGGCTGAGAAGACCAAAGTGAAATTCACAGGGAAAACTAGTGACAAAGATAGTGAAACGGTGCCAAATAAATTTTCTGTTGATGGTGAAAATAATATTCGAAATGTTGGTGGATTTACATTTAATGTGGAGGGAGTGATGAGTAAATTCTCTCAGGCACTTCACAACAAAGGGGAGCAACTCCCCTCAAACTCAGGGTTAGGGGGGTCTGTGCCTTCCACTAATAACGAGGGTGCAGCGGAACTGCAACGGACACGTGCTGACAGAATACAGGCAATAAAGGCCACTGCTGCTACTCTACAGAGCCGCATTCAGGCAGAGGCTCGTAAAATCACAGGCCATGACGAAGGTAAGCAGATCTGTGAGGTAGAACGTTGTTCAGTTTATTGGTGTCACATAAACTGTTTATATTGTCATTGCCTCAGTTAACAATTGAAACACTTGTTCCTTTATTGTCTCTAGAGCAGCCTGGCAATTTTTTAAACCCCTACATGATGACCAATAAAACTGCAGGTAATACGGCACCAACATTGCAAATTATTGTCCATTACAACTTCACATGTCGACATAATGAGATAGATTTTGGTGCATAATCTTTCATGTTTTAACTTAAAAGCTTCAAAACATTTTTTGCTTCATGTGATCCATTTTCTTCATAAACAATATAACTTCCAATAGATAGTCATTTATAAAACAAATCATTGAAAAGTACTATTAAATTTGTCAATATAAGTATATATGTAGAAATGTCAAGTTTCTCATCATGGTTTTAAACAATATACATATCTATCACTTTGATATGAGCTTTTAATAGCCTAACGCCCTGTCAATACAACTTGTCAATGCCAATTTGTCGGAATAAACAAATAGATAGCTCTGTTTACCTCGGCAACTTCCTGACTGCCATCTGCGACTTAACAATGAGAAATGAAAAAGATTGATGCTTCCCAGGGGAAATATTGTACATGTAATGGAAAATGTAAGAGGTGTCCCGGGACACTGCATTTCAAGGTCATGCAGTGAAACGTAGCAGTTTCAACACGACCTCATTAAACTGTGACTGATGATAGACATCTACCGTATACCTGTCATTGAGTATTATCATTGAACAGCAACAGGATGGGAACTAAAGTTCCGTCTGCGGAATTGTTTTTGTGCATACTGCTTAAGCAATAGTGTTACCACTGAAAATCAGGAGAATATTGAGTTGCATTCTGTTTGTCCTTATAAGTTTTGGGACTTCGGAAATAGCGACATTAAAAAAAGCAGGACAGCTAGTTGCTTAAATGAGGTCTATTTTTATCATGTTTCTTCCTTTCTAGTGCAGGTACCGGTATGTTGGGTATATGTAAATACTTAATTAGCAGTCTATGGGGTGGACATGGAAGATATAGATTATACGTGACAGGTCTATTATAACTTTTTTGTATGTCCCAATAACGGCGTATATAAATCCTATAATTTATTAGTCGGGGAGTTAACATTTTCAATACCATAATTTTCCTGGGTGCTTATTTTTGAAATGCATTGTGTAGCTTTATACAACTGTATTCTATAGAAAAAATATATGAAATTAACAACATCAAATTCTCTTTTTTGTTCAAACTCAATAACAAATTGAATTTACTAAAAAAAAAAAAAGTAATAAAGGAATTCTTCACTTTTCTAATATCTGAAATGGCCATATTGAATGAACTTTTGTGATAGGTATATATCATTTGTCCCTATCAAACTGATGACACAACAGGTCCTAAAACAGGACTCCCAAACAGCAATTGAGTCTGTATATATAGTCGGTTTTAACCTTGGCTATAGTAATGTGTTCATTTTCTGACTAATTTAAGAAATCTTTTGCTTTATAGTAGGTAAACCATCTCACTTGTCAGACATTGTTTGTTGACAGTCAAGATTTTATCATGTATTTTGACATTTAATTGTAGTTTAATTAAGCTGAAGAAGACATACTTTCATGCTTTGTCATGAGCAAGTATACAAACAAAACTCCTTACAGATTTTATAAATACAATCTTCTAATATAAATAGGATTTTATGAGCACTGGAACAGGAATTATTATTTCTGATATTCATGATAAATCAAAAGCAATTCAAGAGGAATTATCAGCTGCTCAGAGTTTTATTACAAACCGTCATTGAGTTAAAGTATAAATGAAATTTCACTTGCAAATCAACTGATTATAAATAGTGGAGTGTGAAGCCCTGCCAAAAGTTGAGGGGGGTATCCTGAACTTAGAATCGATCATGTATTGGTCACAAATGGTATATGTGAATAGCTTGCTGGGTCCTCTTTACCTTTAATCATGTATTGGTGACAATGGTATGTGAATAGCTTGCTGGGTCCTCTTTACCTTTAACTGTGAGAATTAACATAACAAATCTTCTGACTTCACATATCTTCCAGTAATAAATATAAATAAATTGAAAATCAGAAATGTACACTGACATATTCGTTGTCCTTCTGCAAGTTTTCAAATTTGATACTATATTTACATGGAAAACATCTACAACAGCTAGCAGTAACGCATCCCTAACTTATCAATAGCACCAAGATACATCAAAAACAAGCAATATAAGCTTTTCACTTATTCAGTTAACATTTGAACTAAATTCAATGAAGCTATCATATGATTGTGACAACAGGATGCTTTGGTTTCATGAAAATAATAATTGGAATACCGAATATTCATGGGTCAGATATCACATATCAGATATCCACATGTAGAAGAAGGAATTGTATTATTATAGACAAGACAATGACTGGACGGATCTGTTTATGTGGAAATGTTCGTATTTGATAAGGTTGGATATTTCATGAGTGCCAAATGCAATTAACTCGAGTTTGTATTATATATTATACATAAGAGTGTGACATTAGTACCACTGTCACCAGAGATCTGGACCTCTTGTTAAATGATCAGTAAAATATTCTCATGAATTTATTATTCTGCGAAAAACATGGTACGTTCCAATTAGGTCAGTAAAGCAAATAAAATGTGGTAGAATGATAATGACACGCGCAAAGATAATTATAGAAACACAGGTTGATATAGGCTTGTTACGACTAGAGAAATGATGATAATATTGGTGTAACTGAATAGAAAATCTCTGTGACCATCACAAATCAATAAGGGCTTCCTTACTGTAGCTTTGTGTTGAGATATATATAGCTGTAGCTTTGTGTTGAGATATATATATAGCTGTTGCTTTGTGTTGAGATATATATAGCTGTAGCTTTGTGTTGAGATATATAGCTGTTGCTTTGTGTTGAGATATATATAGCTGTACTTTGTTGAGATATATATAGGTGTAGCTTTGTGTTGAGATATATATAGCTGTAGCTTTGTGTTGAGATATATATAGCTGTAACTTTGTGTTAAGATATATATAGCTGTAGCTTTGTGTTGAGATCTATATAGCTGTATAGTTATGTGTTGAGATATATATAACTGTAACTTTGTGTTGAGATATATATATCTGTTGCTTTGTGTTGAGATATATATATCTGTTGCTTTGTGTTGAGATATATATAGCTGTAGCTTTGTTGAGATATATATAGCTGTAGCTTTGTGTTGAGATATATATAGCTGTAGCTATGTGTTGAGATATATATATCTGTAGCTTTGTGTTGAGATATATATATCTGTTGCTTTGTGTTGAGATATATAGCTGTAGCTTTGTGTTGTGATATATATAGCTGTAGCTTTGTGTTGAGATATATATATAGCTGTTGCTTTGTGTTGAGATATATATATAGCTGTTGCTTTGTGTTGTGATATATATAGCTGTAGCTTTGTGTTGAGAGATATATATATATATATATAGCTGTTGCTTTGTGTTGAGATATATATAGCTGTAGCTTTGTGTTGAGATATAAAGCTGTTGCTTTGTGTTGAGATATATATAGCTGTAGCTTTGTTGAGATATATATAGCTGTAGCTTTGTGTTGAGATATATATAGCTGTAGCTTTGTGTTGAGATATATAGTTTTGTGTTGAGATATATATAGCTGTAGATTGGTCAGCCTAAGATGATACTGATTTTGTGGCCTTGTGTCCTGCAATACATATATACAGAATGAGAACCATCACAGATTTCCTAATGAACACTTATATATATCCATAACTGTACTCACACATTCCCGGTACTGTCTTGATAATAAATTTACTACACACATGGGTCCTTAACTTTTCATTACACTGTTAATGAATCTGTATGCATGTTTAAATATGTATGTATAGCTTGCAGAATTCAACACAGTCTGTCCTGACAGTCTATGGTTCTGTATTGGTCTTTGACATCAATGAATATGTCACATCCAAAAAAGCATCAATATACACCACAGCACTAGTGAAAGCATTGTTGCTATTATTATGTCTCTCCTTCGAATGAAGGGAGACATATTATATTAGTACTGGTTCTTCTGGTTCTTCTAATCGCAACTTGTCCGGGCCATAACTTTTAAACTGTTAAAGATATCTTGATGAAACTGGTAATCTTGCATCACCCACAGAAGGTGTGCAGTGCACTGGAATTAGGTCACTGTGACCTTCACCTCGAGGTCAAAGGTCAAATAAGTGCAACATTTTTAGTAAATTCTTGTCCGGCCCGTAATTTTAAACTGTTAAAGATATCTTGATCAAACTTGAAGTATACCTGCATTACCCACAGAAGGTGTGCAGTGCACTGGAATTAAGTCTCGTGCTTCACTATATACAGAGTTATGGCCCTTTGTTTATTTTTAATACCAAAGTTTATCCGGAGCATAAAATCCATGTTATTTCACCTACGTTGACCAAACTTGCTATAGTTTTAATGTATCTTGGGAAGTAGGAGTGTCACATTTTAAATTTGTTCCACAATATAAAGAGATATGGCCCTTTGTTATTTTTTTATACCGAAGTTTGTCTATTGGCTAATAAGGTGAGACATGTTTTTGCTCACAAAAACAAAATTCTAGTTCATCCTGTTCTACAGTTATGCTCCACACATGTTCTGTCTCCCCTCTATCTGAGAGGGACACTTCGACAATCCTGTTTGAATTTGTATCTGTATTTTTCAGTCCTCTGCATGGTGTTGATCAACATTATCTCTTTTCAAATAGTTTTCTTCATCAGATCAACATTATCTCTTTTCAAATAGTTTTCTTCATCAGATCAACATTATCTCTTTTCAAATAGTTTTCTTCATCAGATCAACATTATCTCTTTTCAAATAGTTTTCTTCATCAGATCAACATTATCTCTTTTCAAATAGTTTTCTTCATCAGATCAACATTATCTCTTTTCAAATAGTTTTCATCATCAGGATTTATTTTTGTGTCTCCTTGTAAAGAGGGGAAATTGGACTTCAAAATTTATTTAGGTCTAATTATACCTTAGTTGATCAGTAGTAAAACCAGAGCTTTTACTTGAGATAAATTGTTACCCAAGATGAAACTTGTTATGTGGTTTTATTGTTGATGGGTACATTATGTGTACTCTAGCATTGAGTGTTTTATTGTTGATTGGTACATTTTGTGTACCCCAGCATTGAGTGTTTTATTGTTGATGGGTACATTTTGTGTACTCCAACAGGCAGTGCAGCTAACCCCAATCCTAACTCTCGATGGGCATTACCACCGGCTGGAGGAGGAGGAGCTAAAGAAAATGATGCGTTCGTGTCGCGCTATGAAAGGATGATTGGCACTGATACTAATTACTCTGTGTTCGCCGCAAACCTGCCAGGTACCCTTCGCCTTACCTATTGATTTTCAATAGAGATTTTATATGATGATTTTTTTTTGAAAAGTTTTCAGCATTTTACAAAATATCTTTAAATACTAATTTTCACACTTGTTCTTTCTTGCAACTTAATATCTCAAGATTTCATAAACACATATAAAGTGCTCTTCATATTTCACACAATTTTGAATGTTTTTTAAGATATTCCATAATTTAAAAAATCAGTTTATTCATTGACATTGATAGTTAACATAAATTACGTTTCATGGAATTGCTTAAACATTTGATTGAAACTCAAAGAAATATGTACATCGGCTGTATCTATGAAAGTTAGCACTTTAATGCATTATATATCATTTGCTGTAGGTGCTCAGCAGGCATCACAAGGAGACCCGCAAGGGGGCCTTGATGATAGCAGTATAGAGCCAGAGGCTGCTGCCATCAGGATACAGGCGGCCTATCGAGGCCACACAGTACGGCAGAGCCTCACCTGGAAACTGCCGTCAGGCCGCACCATGTTAGCTAGTCACAGGGATGAGGATGAAGATGAATCCTCTATATCAGAAACATCAACATTCAGCGACATCACAATAACAGAGGACTCAGAAAACTCCATGTCATCACCACCGCGCAAGGTAGTAGGCTTTCAAAATATTGCTAATCAGGCATGAAATACTGAATTTTAAAACTCAGCTGTAATATTTTGGAAAAATCATAAGGATGAACAAAATACATTTATGACCATTTGTTTGTCAAATCTGAAGTATCCTTATTTCATTAAAATTCCTTACCAAAGACTTTTCCATTAACCTATAAAAACAGAAGTAATGGGCCCTAGCTACTTTGTTTTTGTTCGACAAAATGAAGTAAATTGCAGGGAATCTTTGTTGACAGGGAAATTCTTGTGTGAGTGTACATTTGTCATAAGTACATATACTGGAAAGGATAATTTTATTTGATACAGCTTGTTGTTGAGTCCCACCATTTGTTTTTGTTGACCATTTGTTGGCCCTAATGTCGATTATGACATATCCGTGTTGACGTGCCATTAAGCACTCAATAATAATAATAACTGTTGAGTCCCTTTCTCGTTTGTTTACTACAATAAGATATTTTTAAACTACCCAACACATGTTTGATTCTTGGGAGAAATCATGAAGTGATAAATATAGATCATTCCTGTCAAGGTAATATATTTAAGATTTAGATGAAAATATGTAATAACAATAAGAATTAGACAAGCACCAAGCTTGATACAATCTGACCAGACTTGGTAAGTGGTAATACCACGCTGAGGAGTGATCGTCTACAAGCTGTAAGGTAGAGAAGTGATGATTGGTGTGTCTGATGTGTAACAAACACAACGCCATACATCACAGCCCATCAAACTCACTGCTCTCAATTCACTGATGAAACATTATATTAAAAGGAAGATTTATATCAGTAAATTGAAAATTAATTGTCCCTTTTGATGCATGAACTGAGTTCTGATGTGACTGACGGGGTTGATGTCGGCTATATATCTAACAGTAATCGATCACAGCAAACACAAGACCAAGATAAAATGAAAACTCTGTGTGATGTCAGTGTTTTGTCTGCAGCCTGTGGAGACAGGTGGAATGGATTGTTGTGTTGTGCTCACTTGTTTTAAACCTGTTATAAATGTTAACAAACAATAAAATTGATGTTGTTGTATTGTTATGGCAGATTGGTGCAGGACTTCGTGACAGAGACTTCCACGCAGGAGCCAAGAGGTCACGACCTTCTCAGGAGATGCATATCCCACGACCCCAGGGGCAGACAGCCAAGTACTCCTGGGAGGATCCCACCTCTGATCCATACTCTGTCCTCAATGTGTTCGCCAGGCAAAAACGCAACCAAGGTATTTATTTTACAGGCAAAATACAGGACAGGGCGTCTTTGCCTAATAAGCAAAACAGAGGACATTCAGTAATAAACCCTTTAGACAGCTGTCACCTTAGAGAACTATCCATGTTTAAGATAAAATCAGATAATCCAGACATGGGATCACACAAATAATCTTATTCATATGTGATTTCAGAATTTAAAAGATAAATGAACTTAAATTTATATAATTATCTCATTTACCCCCGAAGGCACATTTGAACTCTTCCAATTCAAAAGTTGGAATAGTTTATTATAAAATTTCAGGGGTGAATGAGTTAAAATGATTTCTTGGTAAAAAAAAATACTCTCAGTTGTTTTTGTGTTCTTAGTCAAACAGCGTCAGGGTCCAGTAGGAGAAGAGAGTCATGTGCCAAAATCCCGCGCAACTATCCCAGTGAAGGAGGATGAAGTCAAGCGTGATAAAACAACATCGCAGCAGACTGCTCCAAAACCTGCTGCACGGTCTGGAGTGAAAGATACACGGAGCCGCAGTCCAGGGATGGGATACCGCCAAGAGAGTTCTCATCCAGTCATTACAGGGCTACGCACATCAAACTTCGCATCTATCACTGAAAGTCTGAAAAACAAGTATGTGGTTTACAATATCATGTAGTTGAATAGTTCAGTTTTTTAAAAAAAAATCAAGTAAAACCATGATGTAACGAGAATATTACGAATACATGTTGGCTGTTTTGTCACTGTTTTAGGCCGGAAGTTAATCAGACAAAAACAGCATCTGTGAGTTTCCAGGTTGGCACCGAAAAGAGTGATGATGACACGCTGGAGGAGGATTCCTACCTGAAGACTGCGGACAGGTGGGTCTAGAAATACCAGTAACTGTGTATACACATACCAATCCTAGCGTTGTACTGTATACCGGTAGCTGTGTACTGTATACCTGTGGCTGTGTATACACATACCAAACCTAAGGTTGTACTGTATACCTGTGGCTGTGTATACACGTACCAAACCTAGGGTTGTACTGTATACATGTGGCTGTGTATACACGTACCAAACCTAGGGTTGTACTGTATACCTGTGGCTGTGTATACACATACCAATCCTAGGATGGAACTGTATACCTGTGGCTGTGTATACACGTACCAATCCTAGGGTTGTACTGTATACCTGTGGCTGTGAAAATACGACCAATCCTAGGGTTGTACTGTATACCTGTGGCTGTGTATATACGTACCAATCCTAGGGTTGTACTGTATACCTGTGGCTGTGAAAATACGACCAATCCTAGGGGTGTACTGTATACCTGTGGCTGTGTATACACATACCAATCCTAGGGTTGTACTGTATACCGGTGGCTGTGTGTACACATAATAATCCTAGGGTTGTACTGTATACCTGTGGCTGTGTATACACCTACCAATCCTAGGGTTGTACTGTATACCTGTGGCTGTGTATAAACATACTAATCCTAGGGATGTACTGTATACCTGTGGCTGTGTATACACGTACCAATCCTAGGTTTGTACTGTATACCTGTGGCTGTGTATACACATACCAATTCTAGGGTTGTACTGTATACCTGTGGCTGTGTATCCACGACCAATCCTAGGGTTGTACTGTATACCTGTGGCTGTGTATCCACGACCAATCCTAGGGTTGTACTGTATACCTGTGGCTGTGTATCCACGACCAATCCTAGGGTTGTACTGTATACCTTTGGCTGTGTATACACAAACCAATCCTAGGGATGTACTGTATACCTGTGGCTGTGTATCCACGACCAATCCTAGGGTTGTACTGTATACCTGTGGCTGTGTATACACAAACCAATCCTAGGGATATACTGTATACCTGTGGCTGTGTATACACATACCAATCCTAGGGATATACTGTATACCTGTGGCTGTGTAGAAATGTACCAATCCTAGGGTTGTACTGTATACATGTAGCTGTGTATACACATACCAATCCTAGGGTTGTACTGTATACCTGTGGCTGTGTATACACGTACCAATCCTAGGGGTGTACTGTATACCTGTGGCTGTGTATACACATACCAATCCTAGGGATATACTGTATACCTGTGGCTGTGTATAAATGTACCAATCCTAGGGTTGTACTGTATACCTGTAGCTGTGTATACACATACCAATCCTAGGGTTGTACTGTATACCTGTGGCTGTGTATACACAAACCAAGCCTAGGGATATACTGTATTCCTGTGGCTGTGTATACACATACCAATCCTAGGGTTATACTGTATACCTGTGGCTGTGTATACACGTACCAATCCTAGGGGTGTACTGTATACCTGTGGCTGTGTATACACATACCAATCCTAGGGTTGTACTGTATACCTGTGGCTGTGTATACACAATGATCCTAGGGATATACTGTATACCTGTGGCTGTGTATACACGTACCAATCCTAGGGTTGTACTGTATACCTGTAGCTGTGTATACACGTACCAATCCTAGGGTTGTACTGTATACCTGTGGCTCTGTATACACAAACCAATCCTAGGGGGATACTGTATACCTGTGGCTGTGTATACATGTACTAATCCTAGGGTTGTACTGTATACCTGTAGCTGTGTATACACGTACCAATCCTAGGGTTGTACTGTATACCTGTGGCTCTGTATACACAAACCAATCCTAGGGGGATACTGTATACCTGTGGCTGTGTATACATGTACCAATCCTAGGGTTGTACTGTATACCGGTAGCTGTGTACTGTATACCTGTGGCTGTGTATACGCATACCAATCCTAGGGGTGTACTGTATACCTGTGACTGTGTATACACATACCAATCCTAGGGGTATCATGTATACCTTAAGCTGGCCACAGTTCAGATGTCAGCAGACACCAAAATCAAGGGTTCTGTTATAAAACACAACTTTGGCTTTGTCACTCTTTCCCAATAGTCCCTCAAATTGGACTGGGTCCTTGAATTTGTGCTGACAGAGCTTCCATATATACAGTATATGTATTCCAGGCACATTAACAATTAAAATAATAAATATATGTCATGGTCATTGGTATCAAATGATTCAGAATGACACCGATTTGTTTGTGTTACATGTGTACAGTGGGGATGATAGGAAACACAAGCCTTACAAGTATGAGAAAAAGCCCATCAAGCCCCAACCTAAGTCCTCCTCAGTCAAATCTGTTCGCAAGGAGCGCTCTGGATCAGACAGGGGGCATAAAGAAGGTTCAGAAAGTGATGTCTCGCTAGAAACGGTAAGTTAGAAACAACTAATGTTAATTCCAAGGTAACTGTTTAAATAAAAATTAATTCATGAATACAGTAATGAGATACATCAATGTAGTTGAAATCTTGCTGCCAGATCCTATTCCTATTTACCTGTGTACTTGTTATATATGACATTGTTTAAACCAAACATGTGGATAATTTTGTAAGAAGGACACTACCCATTAAGGATTTATTTGTTTATTAGGACCGACCAAGTTACTCTCTGCACCGTCCATCATATGATGCTTCTCAGGAGACTGGACTTAAGTTCCCATCGCGATATTCTCCCAATTCTCTGGAGCGACAGTTCCACACAGAGCTGAACCAGTTAGAGAGTATGGAGGAGAGTATGAGACAGCTGACGAACATGGAACGTACACGGGCTGTGTCTATGGCCCAACAGGAAACAGTCTCCCTTGCACAGATGCTTAAGGTAGGTTAACTCCGTGCAATACTGTACTCCTCATCAATCTATGTTTTAGGGACACAAATCTGATGATCCAGTCGTAATGGGGTTTTATATGCTCTTGTGGTAATGAAGGGATATCACATCCTTCGATGATGTCACAAAGGGGAGACAACAGATATACAGCCAAGATGGCAGCTGCTATTTATAACCATCAAAAATATTTCAAGAAATTCTTAATCATTTGATAGTACGGATCAGAAGTTTAATGTTTCCATTTCATATGATGATTATGAAACACACCTTGAATTTTGTATTTTAGAAAGACCTATCTCGTAAATCTCATTAATGGAAAGTCATGTGAGATTCAATCAGTGTAAGGTTTATAGACTGATCTATATTAAAACATCTATTTTATCATAATGTATTGTGTTCTTATCAGGCACGGCAGCAGGAGCACAGTAAAGATATGAGCGTATTAGAGCTGAAGGCACAGAGAGAGATGCTGGACGCTACTAAGGAGTTAAATGATGTCAGACAGCGGTCAATGGAGGTCACCCAGACAGCTGCGGAGGCCATAACAAGACTGCGCTCTGTACCCACTGACACCAAGCAGAAGACTGGGCGCAAGGTCACCGTCGATCCAAGGTCAAGGTCAGAGGTCACAAGTCTGCTGGTAACGGACAATATCAGACCACGAAAGAATAAAATGGTAAGACTTTTTGTGCCATATTTAGCAGAGTTCCAATTTCTGTGCCTAATATGACACATTTTAACTGATTAAATTAGATTATAGTTTTATCAAATCAATGGATGAATAAGAAGTGTTTCTTTTTTGCATATTTGCAAAACTGATAAAACTGCAGTACATTTGGCATTATAATTGTGTTACAGACAACATCAGCTGTGGAGTCCGAGAGAGGTGTACTGGATTCTGCACGGACAGCTACCTCCTACACAGTGGATAGTCGGACAGGCCGCTCCAGGTACAAAAATGTACTTTCGGCAACTTGGTCCAAAAATCTTGGGGTACTTTCGTTGACCTTGATTGCCCTAGGAATTTCATTGATACTTATATTATTATAATGTCCAGGGATATGGTAATTAGTCATTGTGATATGTAGTAATTAATACTCATCACATCACACAAATTTTATGGAGATCCTGTCATTAACTCCTGTGGACCATTTTAGAGACAGACTTTACAATGAAAATTAACTGTTTTATACTTTTCTACTGGTGACTTACAGGTCACACATCCTAGTGTTGTGCCAATGATCGGGGATAATCGATTAACGGTTGGTTGGAGCCTACTGATTCCAATGATCGATCATAATCTTGTTTAATCGATCATCGGTAGATCCTGGTCAAGCCGCCCAATAGTTTCCAAAACGAAACGCAACCAGCAATGGAAGCTACATCTATTTGTAACCTGTATGTGGATACTATGAGTGATCTACGTGAAATCTATGCAAATCTAGCAAGTTTGTGTTCAGTATAAAAAGTTTGAAGTACTGCCTGAAAACATTAAAATATTTTGAAATAAACAATATTGAATCAGTGAGCACGTGTGACAAACTCTTGTCGGACAGCCGGACATGTCCTGAAAAAAATCACCTCAGACGGGGAAAATGTTTCGGATACCTGCTCGAATGTTAGGTAATATTTTTATCTAAGTCTGGCAAAATGTCCTACAATATGGTGCTGTTATTAGCAGCTTGTCATTCCAGAGGTGTAAAAATTAAGTTTATTTTTCGTTTTTGGAAAGTTTGCTAATAGAATACTCGCGATCTTTCTTTCTATCAATTCAGACGATTTTTGAGAATTTGAGGCTGGTGAAAAAGAACTGAATTTCTGGCTAAAATAGGCCAAAGGGACAAATAAAGTTCTCATTTTCTTTCTTAGATAACTACATGTACTAGTTACAACTGAGTGACATCATTTTTGCCTGAAAAACGTCTCGGTTTATAAAAGAGGAAGTTGCAATGGCGTGACTAATAAGCGGACATATCTGGACCAGGTTTTCAGGAATTAAAAACAAAATAATAAACCCACACAAAATTAATAAATGAAATATCCATCACTGCAATTTAAAAATGAATAATCTCTATCATAGTATTGCAGTTACTAAAAAAAATAAAAATAAAAATTACCCAACACTAACCCATCCCCTTAAGCTCATGTGCTTCCTCTCACTCCCAGAACTTAAGTAACCCTAGATATAGTTCTTATTGTTGTTATATCCTGATTGTTTCACAGAGGAGTTATAACCCCTAACAGTCTGCGTACAGCCAGTGATACCCATAAGAATGGAGACAGTGACTCCTCCATACGCTCTGTCTCCGGAGCTGAAGCCCGCGACGAGTCGCGCTCGGAGAGTATCATTGAGGATATCTCACAAGGTTGGTAGTTTTCTGATGTGATTTTTATAATGAGTGGAAAAGTGGAGGTAACTCTATCATCTTATGTATGTGAGACTGTGTGAGACATTCTTATTGAACAGTGACAGATTTTGTTTTGAAGATTTCTTTTGTGTGATACTTTTGACTCTGTGCTTTAAAAATGTATTTCCAGTATTTAATTGACAAGAAAGTAGGTGAACATATTAGTGTGTATATTTTAGATGTTGAATCTGAGTGTAAATAAATAAAATAAACAAGGAGGACATGGTTTCAGAACTTCAAAATACTTTGGCTCTGGTGGAAGGATAACAATATCTTGTTAAAGATTTCAATCTTTTTTCTTTCCTTACCCAACTCACCTTTTATTCTAAGACTATGCATTCTCTATACTTTATAAGATGCAATAGTTTTTAAATAGATGTTGGTCTTATGACAGTATTTGTTAAATATCCTAGCTGTTGTCATTGTGACAGTGTCTGTCTAGGACAATGGCTGTATATCCTCTATATAGTACAAGATACAATGGTATCTGCTCAATACTATATTCTGTACGATGTGCTAATAATGCTCAATACTATATACTGTACGATGTGCTAATAAGGCTAAATATTGTATTCTGTACAATGTTCTAACAATGCTCAATATTATATTCTGTACAATGTGCTAATAATGCTCAATATTATATTCTGTAAGATGTGCTAATAATGCTCAATATTATATTTTGTCTGATGTGCTAATAATGCTCAATACTATATTCTGTACGATGTGCTAATAATGTTCAATACTATATACTGTATGATGTGCTAATAATGCTCAATATTATATTCTGTACAATGTGCTAACAATGCTCAATATTATATTCTGTACAATGTGCTAATAGTTGTTGTATTTTTGACAGCCTCCGGAGACGATTACTCAGTTATATTTGACGACACGATGACGGAGGATGAGATGGAGGAGAAATCCTTCAAGGCAATCCTACCGTCGGAAAGTCATCGTAAACGTGCTAAGAAACACTCGGGAGACAACATGTCTGTCACGTCAGATGAAGGCAGCATCTCTTCAGGTAGGTACAAGCATAATTTCTGTCAGCTTCTCTCCAACTTCTGACGAAGGCATTGTCGTCCTCATTATACAAACATCACCCTTCACCTTCCTTATCTTCAAAACTTCTGACAAAGGCATTGTCGTCCTCATTACACAAACTTCACCCTTCACCTTCCTTATCTTCAAAACTTCTGGTGTGTAACTATGCTATTCCTGTTTCTTTATATCTGTATTTTTTGTAATATTACATTATGTGGGCAGTAAAATTCATTTTCAACATTTTAACTGTATCATTTGTGAATGTGGAACTTTCAAAGAGTCTCAAGTTTGTCTTTTTACGAAAAGATACGAAAAATTGGTCGAAGACAAAATTGTTGTCTATGGAACATTTATGAAAGCCAAAAATATGTCTGTTTTTGGCAGAGCTATTTTAAAGGTACCAATATTAATGACGGAACTGTTGTACAGTATAGCGGTATCTATATTCTGAGTTCAATATTTGTTTGTAGTACCCAACACACCCAGAATGACTCTTAATGACCTCAGCTCATTTTTCACCGGGGAGGAGTCCTTCAATAAGTTTACAGAGGATATGGTCCGACAGTTTATGAGAGAGGAAGAGCTAAGGGCTCAACACCAGGTAGGACCTTCAGTTTACTATCTGTAGTAATGCAAACATTCCGAGTGAAGAATATTTCATCTCGGCCAGAGCCCAGGTCTTGTATAATCTGCCTGTATTATTGTAATGCGTGGAGAAAGGTCACTCAGCACCCAAACCTTTGGAATAAGGTATTTTAAAACAGCCCCTGAGAGTAACTTTTTAGTCAATTTTTCTTTTCTTAATTTATTATTTTGTCATGTCTACAGATTATCAATGGTAAAGAAAAAAATATCGTTTATCAATTTTCATGATGTTTGCTATATTGTGATGTGTAATATTGTTGCTGCGTAGGGTGCTTTGTTACGCCTCCGAGAGAAAGCTTTGACAGAGAAGACTAAAGCTGAACTTGCCTGGCTGGACCAGCAACGACATAATCTTCGCAACAAAGGGGCAGACGACAACTACCCACAGATCATCAAACGGCAACGTGGCCTCAAAATGAGGCTTCAGGAACAACAGGTGATTGTCAAATACAGTATACTTTCTGAATTTACTCATTTATGTAATGAAACCAGTCTACAGTGGCCATGGGAACAGGATCATTTGGGCAGAAATGTCAGATATGACAGTGTCTGGAAGGTTAGGAGGTAACACAGAAACCAGTCTTTGAGCCATTGAATTCTGTGTAATATGATTCATTAAAATTACATAAATGTGGATCCCAATCTTAGTGTTAAGCCTTTCTAAAAATTGCCTTTATCCATATTTCAATTGGTAGTGTTTATGATACTAGAGTGGACTTTGTGTTGTGTTGTTTTTGTATTTATTTGGGAAGACAGTAAGTTTTGTTGTTTTGTGACTTATAGGAATGTAATACATTTTCAATTGCCTGTTAATGTGTACGTAGCATCTCGCTACATGTTAAAGAATTCTGAATGAAAGGTTAATGTTGTAATGTATTTCAGCTGTCGTAATAATAGTTTGGTGTAAAATGCTGGTACTTACAATGTTGGACAAACACCAATATATATTTGTTAGAGGAACTATGTTGGACAAACACCAATATATATTTGTTTGAGGAACTATGTTGGACAAACACCAATATATATTTGTTTGAGGAACTTTGTTGGACAAACACCAATATATATTTGTTTGAGGAACTTGACCTGACTCCATTGATCATTTATCACAGGCTGAAATAAAGAGGCTGCAAGAGTCCAACAAGGCAGCGTCTCTAGAGAGGCAGCGACTTCTGAAGCAGCACACCGAGATCAGTCGCATGAGAAAAAACACACAAAAGGTACAAAACAAAACTGTGCTAAAGGCATACCTTCTAAACCGATGATTGATGTCGTTTATAGACCTGTGTTTATTGAAGTATTGGAATAAATGCACAAAGGTTTTGAACTTATTGGTCAAGAAGATATAAAACCTTTTTCATTTCTTGAAAATCGTTTTAAATTGATCAGGATGTTTTCACTATCCTAATATGATATCATGATTAAAACCCCAAACATTATCTTATTTTGACCTTTGTTTACCATACAGACCAAGGAGAAGTTAAAGGGGAATGGCCGACTTGAGCGTCCGTCCGAGGTCCACACGGAGGACGAGGTCAGCACTGTGAGTACCTCACCTCTCTACTGTACCTGCGTGACTTGATCTGGATAGTGACCAGAGATCTCGTCATTTTCCTTTGTTACAACAACTTGTTACAGAGTGTATTTTAGAAATAGTTTATTGGTCTATTTGTACAGTGGAAGATATCAATATACCATGGGTAATGAAAAAAAATGCTGGTAAATTTTCTAAAAATGAAAGCTGGAAGCCTGAATTGTTTATTGTGTGTGTACAGGATTTCAAATTGAGTGACATATTCAACCATAATAACTTTATGATAGTTACATTCTACCACATAAAAACAGTTTATATAATTAAGAATTTGTCTGTTATTGGCTTTTGATTCACTGTATTAAGTGTACCCTGTTTTGCAATTACTGATGATGATGATGATGATGGCATGAACTCTTTCAGTTTGATGACCATAAAGACGGAGCAAGTGGACGAAAGAAGAAGGACTACAAATCCGATTCCGAGATTTACACGGAGCCAAAAGTAACACACAAAAAGTCCATGGACGATTCCACAGCACTGGACAAACTCAAGAAAATCCATTTTGATGAGAGGTAAATGGTGACATACAATGTCATGTAGTTACACCAGTAATGATGTTTAGGCCTATTGGTAAAGTACCTCTCTCTCTCGTAAGTAGTTATTGTGTGAGCTTATGTACTTAGTGAGATTATATCCTTATTGCATATTTAACCGTTTGAAATTGTTCATATACAATCATTACTCAGCTACTGTATTAGATTAGAGGAATAGTTCTAGGATTCACAGAAACATCTTATATGTAACTAAAGAGTATTCTGTATCTTGTTTAGTGTTTTCCTTTCAGAATTAGATTATTTTAGAGTTAGAATATATACCACATAGAATATATACCAGAACTGTTTTCTGAACGATGTGTGTGATATGATTTGACAGGTTCCTAACAGCAAGAGAACAAAAGCTTCTTGACAGACGGAAAAATGCTGAGGAACTTTTACGATGGAAGCAACGTCTTGACCACGAGGAATCCAGAGTGTTCAAAATAGAACAAAAAGCCATCAAAATATGGGATACACAGGACAACCGCCGACCAGAGAAAACACCTGCCAAGGACGACCGTAGACTGGCGAAGACTCAAGCTAAGACGGTAAAGGACGACCAGACTGACAACACCAAAGTCCGCCAGAGAAATGACCCCAAAGGTAGGACATAAAGAAGTCTTTACAAATGGGACAAATATAAGGTTATTAGGTTGTTGCTTAAAGATAGAAAATAAAGGAGGCTAACTTATTATTACATCAGTTAATGTTTAAAGATGGGTTCTCAAAGATATCCTGAATTTAGATTTGCCATGATTAATTGTGACGAGTAAAGATCATTGTTTTTTTGTTCAAATGTCTGTGTTATATTAAACAATAATCTATTCTAGTAATACTTGGAAATTTCGGTCAGATTAATGACTTTATTTTGAGATTTTTAAGTGTTTGAGACATTTAGGGCTCGTGCTTTTCCTAACATTTCTCTTTGAATTGGAGTTGAAAACATAAATTTTCCTTAACTGCTAAAAGCTGCAGATACATACAAAAGCATACTACTTTCTGCTAACATGTGAATTGCAGAATCTCAAACTGCCTCAACCGCACAGGAGAGCACAATTGCCTCTGCTAGTGTACTAACTGCCAAAGACGAGTCAGTGCGCCGCAGTGTGACTGAAACCCCCAGGACAGAGATCGCTAGTGGAAGTGAGAGCTCACCGGAGGAAAGACTGAGGGAGCGTGACAACAAAGACCGCACAGCCAACAGTGGCAGTGAGAGTTCTATTGTTGAGGAGATAGCATCCATATCTAGTGTGGATGAGGGTAGTCCCGCCACACCCAGAGTCCGCAAGTATGTAACTCACACTGTTGTCAAAAGTATATACTGAATCACTAAGGTCGGCAATATAAAGTGCCTGGTATTTCTGCTTACTTCAAAAAAAACTCACTGATTTGTTATAAAATAAAAGACACTAATGTGAATTGAAAGTCAAAGCTCTTACTAAATACTTTTGTTTTCTGTAACTGACCCAGATGAAAACTAAGATTTTAACGAATAAAAATGTTTGTTTTATGTAGGTCTCGGTCATCTGCAGCAGATGACACGATCATCAATGACAGCCAGTACAACAACGATTCCTTTGAGGAGACCAGTGTTCAGGTCACTAGCAGTAAGCGGAGTGGTAAATCTCCTCGCTCCCCCCTTGACCGCCTCCCCCAAGGCATGTTATGGCTGTCAGGCCGCACAGTCCGACACGGAAACCGCTCGCCCTTCAGTCGCTACCGCAGCTCGGAGAGCGAGTCAGAAGAGTCCATTTCGCACACAGGTGGGTAGTTCATCTAGAATCCAACTGATTTCAGATTGATTCACACAAATATCATTTATGCATTATATAGGGATTGAACTGCGTTTTTTACCCACCATCATCTAGATCTGATGGTGGGCTATTCAAATCATCCTGCGTCCGTGGTTCGTCGTCCATAAACAATTCTTGTTATCGGTATTTCTCAAGAAGTACTAGAGGGATCTTTCTCAAATTTTATATGTAGGTTCCCCTTGGTCCTTAGCTGTGCAGGGCAACTTTTGAGACTGATCGGATAAACAACATGGCTGACAGGCAGCCATCTTGGATTTTGATAATGAAAGTTTGTTATCGCTATTTCTAGGGAAGTAACAGAGGGATCTTTCTCAAATTTTATATGTAGGTTCCCCTTCATCCCTAGCTATGCAGGGAAACTTTTGAGACTGATCAGATAAACAACATGGCCGACAGGCAGCTATCTTGGATTTTGATAGTGAAAATTTGTTATCGCTATTTCTCGGGAAGTACCAGAGGGATCTTTCTCAAATTTTATATGTAGGTTCCCCTTGGCCCCTTGTTGTGCAGGGCAACTATTGAGACTGATCGGATCGACAACATGGCCGACAGGCAGTCATCTTGGATTTTGACAGTGAAAGTTTGTTATGGCTATTTCTCATGAAGTACCAGAGGGATCTTTCTCTAATTTTATATGTAGGTTCCCCTTGTTCCCTTGTTGTGCAGCAGTGCCCGAAATGGACGGTCGCCCGCTCGCCACTTGCGAACTGGCAATTAAAGTCTTGCTCGGGCGACCAAAAGTTGTCAAAAGTGAGGTAGTCACTGACCTAACAAAAACAGTTTGGGCGACCGTCGAAAAATTTATGAATAAAAGAAATTATAGTCCCTTCCACATTAACTGGGGGCAGTACAGTTTTCAGTTGCCATTACTTCGATTTGAATCGAACTGTCTGTGATTTAGAAAGAAAAAAAACAGATTTTCTATATAAATACAGCCAGGGTGTCTTCTTTGAGGTGCAAGTTTTGTGTATTTCTTTGGGAAGACCTGAATGGAATGGATCATGTCAGGTTTTAACTAGGGTTGAAGAATTAAAAATATAATGTTTTATTCTGTTTTAAATATTACAAACATTGTCATGTTATATGTAATTTAAATGTGCTAAAGCATTGTGTAAATTGCTGTGGTAATATTTCTTCCTAAATTAATTGGGCCACCAATATGATTTTTTTTGGGAGGTTCCCCACTATCCTTTATTATTCATGTTTACTTTTGAAACTGATCAGTTGAACAAAAAAGCCTACTGACAGCCATCTTTCATTTTTGACATTGAAGGTTTGTTAGTACTATTTCTCAGGAATAACTTCAGGGATCTTTCTCAAATTTGATTTGTAGGTTCCCCTTGATACCTCGTTGTGCATGTTATATTTTGAGACTGATCATAAAAACAAAATGGCTAAAGGAAGAACTAAACAGATCTTTCTTATATTACAATGATCGATTCTATTTCTTTCACATTAAGTACTGTACTAGTAAATATGTGAAATGACAAACTCACTTTGAAGGTTGACTTTCATACACATCAGTATTAAGTTTAGATCAAAAGTTACCTCAAGGTGCATTTACTGTTAACATGACTCGATCAAACAGATTAGAGGAAAGAAGAGAAAAGATCGACCTGACAAAGAACTAATGAAGATGATACAATGGTGGGGGCCAAGATCCCTCTGGGATTTCTTGTTTTTATTTTCATGCTGGTATGAACGCAAATCGGCTACATCCATAATGCATGAAGCCCATTAGTAGCGGGCTTCATGTTAAATATGGATGTAACTGATTTGCGTTCATACCGGCATGAGAATTAAAAAATGCTGTTCAATCCATATATTTACATTTTTACTATACAACAATTAATTTTATCTATTTGTTCCTAAATAAAATAAAAAAATATTGCATTTTGTATGTGCGTCGTCTTTTAAACGACATTGGCGGTACAGCCCTATTTAAATTAAATTGGCGCCACTAATTAACAGTAGTCATTTGAGCGTTTGATGCGGGGGCACTCTCAATGTTATTCGAAGGGAAGCGACAAGACCCTCATTGCACAAGGTTAATCTATGTAGTCATAAGTAAACCACGTGTTACGTCACGAGAGTTTCTGCTTTCATATTCGAATGAAATGCATTTCTACTAGTAATGTTCATATAGTGGGTTGCAGTGCAAATGTAAATATAAACCTTTGGAAAAAGGTAATCATTAAAACATTGTTTTGGATAGTTAAAAACTATGCCATTTAACTTATTGGGACTGTTTTACAGAGTCCTACACAGAGACCCAGTCAGACTTCAGTGACTATGAGGGGCGAGTGCGTGCCTTGAATGAAGAACTGAAACGACGCAAAGTGGAGGCAGACAGACTTAAGAAAGAACGAAAGAAGAGGAAAAAAGAAATACTCAAGAACAAGGAAGTAGCTCTGAAGAAACAAATAGAGGTAAAACTGAAATTAACTTCTGTTAAGTTTCAAAAAACAAATCCCAGCTTAGTACTGTGTTTCTAGGTCATCATTATCAGATAATGGGCTGTTCACAGAGATTTTTGTCCATTTTCTGGCATCAGTTATTCTATCTGAACAGTTTTTGTTACATTTTTTTCTCAGAAACTACAAGAGAAGTAATATTTAAAGTTGGTATGTGTTGTCCCTGTGGTCCATAGTTGCACAGTAAGTTCAGTAGCAATAAAAAGACTTTGTAATTGTACATGAATTTACAACAGACCTCCCATTTACATAATACATATTAGGCTTCACTATTTACACATGTATTTCATACCTTTACACGTAACACACTCCACCTGTACTTTGTACTCTGTAGGCCTACGATAACCAGATCGTTCAACTGAAGGCAGAGTTACAGAAAGAGATGGAGCATGAGCCAGTTAAGTCGAGCGTACGACCTCAGATAAAACAGCCAAAGGTCAGCCCACCAAAGTCAAGGCCACAACAGGAAGTCACCACCCCAACTAAGAAGGGAAGCACCTCTTCCATCAGTGAAGACAGCAAGGAAGGCACAGACTCTGCCCAGAGTTCACCTTCTATCACAGAAGGTATGGACAATAACTATTAGAGGCTGTCTTAGCTGCTTCTCTATTGTATAAAACCTGTATCTCCATCACAACTGGGCTTTGTTTACTTCACAAATGGAGCCAGATATCTGTGCCACAATAACCCTAAACAGACTCTCAGGAGCATACATGACATGGAGTCGAACATCTAGATCAATATATGAATCAATAGGAAGAGAACTGGTTCTATATGGCTCAATGTTTGATTGAAAATTGTTCATTGTACAGGTTAACAGATCTATTATTTCTAATCCAGTGCACTCAATATTTTGTCACAGCAGGATTTACAAAGGTGTTGGTTAGTCTGATACACTTAACCTTTCTGTGATTTCAGATACAAAACAGAGTTCGCCCACGCAAAAGACAGCTCCTTCAATGCCTTTAACCAAAGCTGGATCCTTGGAGAAAATTTCGGAAGCTAGTGAATCAACAATAAGTAGGTCAAGGTCAGACAATACGACACGCAGAGTATTGAGTAAACCATTCAGTAATGATGAAGCATCAATTAAAACGGAAATATCAGAAGATTTTGATCAAGCCGCGGAGGACAGTGTTTCTGAAAGGTCAAAATCTGGTCTGTTTCACATAACAAAGGAATTGCCTCCCCTTACTGCACCAAAGTCTACTGCCTCTGTGTCACGGGTTGACGAGGATGAAGCAAGTTACACAGAGGACTTTACAGTGGACGATGGTGTGTCTGCCAGTGTTAAACTACCTCATAGTGCTCGTAGTGATGTCTCAGATCACACAGAGCACAAACAACGTACAGTCACAGACAATATGTCAGAGCAAATCAGTGAAGCTTTGTCTGTACGGTCTGAGGACTCGCACTTCATACAGCCCCTTGACCTGCAGGGTCGTCAGGAACAGCCTGATGATGGGTATCCAGACCAGAAATCTCCTCGTTCTTACTCCACCACAGCCTCACGACCATCAAGTGGCCGATCACTGTCCAGTCAAGACCCTAATGAGTCATTTGATGACTCGGATGTTGAACCCAGTCAAACATCATCAGTACCCCAAGTTCAAGGTGACCTCCCGTCAAGGTCTGGTGAGATTGGGTTCGAAGATGAAGAGGAAATTGATGATGAAGAGGAGACTCCAACTGCTTCGCCCCGTGATGCACCCACCAAAGAGATGGACATCATGGGTGACTTTAACATAGGGGACCGTGTCCTTGTGACTGGGCCCAGGGGTGCTCGCAGTCCAGGCATCCTACTGTTCAAGGGCAAGGTGACCTTCGCTCCAGGAATCTGGGCTGGAGTAGAGCTGGAGGCTGCTGATGGTAGAAATGATGGTTCTCACGAGGGTATACGCTACTTCACATGTCATCCAGGGCATGGTGTCCTAGTACCAGGAGATGACCTCATGCCTGCTCCTGCCATCAGGAGTCCACGCCGAGAAGGATTCAGTTCGCATGATGATGATTCCATTACAACTGATGACCAGGAGGACTCGGATCTCAGTAAAGTAATCAGTGAGGCAGAAATAAATGTGTCAAATTTCAGTGATGGACTTCCATCACCAAGAGCACCCATAGATAGATCACAGCATCAGAAAGAGGCTCTCACAGACACAATCACTGACCATATTCTTGCGGAAGTTGTCCGAGATGACATGAACACTATCAATAGAATTCAGGGCAGAAAGACGGCGCCGTCTGCTGTGGCACAGGAACCCAGCAACAGACTCGAGGTGCCTCAACCTGGTGCTAACACACCTCACATGAATGGCAGTGTGGATAGTGATGGTGAGAGAGACATAAACCAGAATGATAAACGCTCACAAATGACAGAAAAATTAACCAAAAACCTACTAAACGATGCAATAGATGACATGATTACAATTCGTAATAAGCAGCGAAATCGCCAGGACCCTCTGCGTAGTGGGTATCAGGACCAAGTATTTTCTCCCACACAGGAAATTGAGCATGTGTGGGGAAGGGGTTCCCAAGGAGAGAAGCCTGATAATCCTCCGCGCCCTGTCTCCCCACTCCCAGGCAGCACCTCCCGCGCCACCAAGGTAAGCAGTTTCCATCAAGCAGTCTATCAACCCTATAGATGTTTGGGCAATAGAAGGGATATACACTAAATAGTGTAGATCTTTCTTGCATTGTTTGTTTCCTTTAATTCTTTGTTACTCAAGAAGGGTGCAATAAATTTGATTTATTTATGCTTTGAATATACTGTATAACTTATAACATTTGCTTAGAATTTACAAACTTTTTCATTCACACAAACTCTCATGGCCTGCTGGTATGTTTGAAAATTAGTGCAAGTCAGGTCATTTATATATACTTATGTATATTTACTTATATTTACCTTTCCCCAGCAACCCATTAAATCATATGAAAATGAAAACGCAAAAAAGTAGGAAATTAATAATAGTTTAATAGTCAATTCACTGTAAAAGTAGGAAATTAATAACAGTTTAATGATAGTCAATTCACTGTAAAAGTAGGAAATTAAAACCAGTTTAATAGTCAATTCACTGTAAAAGTAGGAAATTAATAACAGTTTAATAGTCAATTCACTGTAAAAGTAAAACCAAGTTAGCACTCCCTTATAAGATCAAATGCTGACAAACATTAAAACTGTTTGCAGTATACCTGGTTCATCTGTGATAACCATGTCCTAGCGGGATTCTTTGAATTCTTCCTTTTTAATCATGTCACAAGGAAACATGGAATTTCGCTATAGGAATGTAATAATTCATAAATGCAGTGTTTTCAAGGAAAAAATCACTGAGTCTGTAGTAAAACATATCAAAAGAAAATGTTATAAAATAATTTATTGTCACAATTGTGGATATGGAAGAGACTTGTTACTGACTTGGCTAAAGGGAATATAACTTGAACTGGATACACTAGAGCCCTTTATTTGTAATCTTTAGTCCCAGGTTCAACCCCTAGCTGAGGCACTTACCTGGTTATTACAGTACTGTAATGTATAAGAACAACTCTTTGCTGGTAATTGTTGAAAGGTGTCCTTTATTGTATTTTCCTTGTAAATTATCTCCTAGTTTAAGTCAAAGTTTTCTCAAATAAAGTTTAATATAGTCAAAATAATAGCTAGAACACATTTGTTATGTAGATATTTCCATGAATTAGTGTAGGTGTCGATAGCAGGAGACAGCCACAATAGAACAGCTGCTGTTGTAATCTGGGTCGGCCAGCACTTGGATGGCACAGCTGGGTACATGGTGTGGGATGTCAATGAGAAATCTTAAAGCAAAATAACACTGAACAATTTCTGTGTATTTTTTAGTCATCAGGTTTTATTGATCAGGTTTTTTACTACAAATAGTAAGACATGTGTTTTGTTTTCAGTAAAAATTGATTGGCTATAGGCTTTGCTTGCTCCATTATGTTTTTTCTCTACTTCTGGTTACATGTTATATTGTTATACACTGAAACCTTACTACTTCTATGTTAAATCTTACAGTGGGAAGTGTTAAAAATACCACTGAGATTTAAGCATGAGATTACAAGAGAATGAGTTGACACGACTTGTGTAATTTTTGTGTAACAGGAAGGAAACAAGGAATTGGACGAGGGCCTGAATGACCTTCTGTTTGATGATAAGGTGGATGAATACATTGATGATGAAATCATATCTTCTCCAAAGATGAACCAGCCCCCTCCTCCGTATCCAGGCCTACAGCCAGGTCAGTGCTCAGTAACGTTTTACACAGCAATCAATGGATTGGTTATAAACGTGTTTAAATGAACATGTAGAGTATTTGAAGATCACCAGCTCAGAGTCAATGTCACTGAAGTCTGAGTTAAGAGCAAGTTCTATAAACAGAAACCTTCAGTAAATAGTATTTGATCACACCTGTATGACATCTATGTACATAAGGTGATGGACGTAATATCATTAAAATTAAATAGTCATTCAAATTATTCAATAAGCCCTAGCAGGAATTGACAAACAAATATATTATTTCTAATTTGTTTCAGAGTTGATAACAGATACTGGCAACCTAGATTTCCAGCAAATACAAGAGGAGGTGTTTTTCGCTGTACCACACGAGCGCCATGAGATAGAAGAAGTGGTATCTAGTGCTGTGGACGTGTTCTGGAACCAACGTCGGTACGGCGAGTCCTTAGAGGGACTGGAGCCCCCGGACACGTACTACTCCACAGAGGATAACAACAATGACGTGGACAGTAAGAGTCGGCGCGTTTTTGAGAAACTGCTTTTCGATTCGACGGGTGATATTATACGTGATATTTACAAAGAGGAAGATCAGGACACAACATGTGCCTGGAAACAAACAAAACGGACACGACAGAAATATTACCGAGGTGCTAATCCCCCAACAACAATAGACGTCTTAAAACCAATTGTTCAGAAGGCTGTGATTGAAATTCTAGGGTTAAATGGTTCCCGGAAAGTGGACAAAAATCGTTGGAGTGTACGGAAAAAGAAGGATCATGTAGACAACATCCTGGTGGAGGAGCTAAGAGAGGAGGAACCTGATTGGGTGAATTATGATGACGATGAGACTGCTGTTAAAATGCAGCTAACAGAGGCTATTTTCGAGACATTGTTGACTGATACTGTGCAGACGATGAATAAAATATACCGCAAAAAACAAATGTTAAGTCAACAGCAACAATGACTATAAGATGAACCTGACCCTGTACACCAAACAGCCCCCAAAACAGGCTACATGGGCATAGTGGTTATGGGTACAAAGCCAAATATAGAATCTATTGGCATTTACTTCTGTTATGCCAGGTAGCAAGACCAATTGGCATACCGTAGCTTTTAAGTCAATTATTAGACCATTTGCTAGAATGTAGACAAAAATATTAAAGATCAGTTTGAGACAAAATATTATTGTTATATACAGTGACACCTCTGTAATATAGAATTATAGAAAACACAAAATTTATTGTCAAGACAGTTTTATTTAAAAGCTGAACTAATTTGTACGACTTGAGCTGGCTCCAGCTTTGGTCTACAACAAAGACATATACCTACAGATGTATTCAAATCCTCCTCAGCTATGATGGACATCATCGTCAGTCACACTAGTTAAATGTAGTCATGGTTGTCCACTGTACATTCCACACAAGTGTAAATGATGTTAGAGTCGTGTGATAGGTACACAGTGTGTTCTGTTCTGTGTGTCGTGTTTGAAAACAAGACCATAACAGTCAACCGGACACCAAAACTAATTTGTTAACATTTCTGATTACAAAGAAAAGTAAGTTAACAATCTTCTATTTTTATTTTTTCATAAGAAGCTTAAAGCTAAATATAATTATTTCGGTATAAGAACCCCTGCAATGATAGCATTGTGTGATATATAAACTTCCTTCAAAATGCCCGAGTCTATACAGAGTAGTAATTAGTTGTATGAGTACTAACAGCAACCACCGAGTAGTTAGGTCAAGTGATTGTCAGCCAGGTTGAATAACGGACAAAGTATTCTTTTTTAAGTCAGACCATTAAATTTGAATTTGGCAAAGTGAAGAATTTTTTCGGGCAGCAAAAAAAAAAAATCCAGATTCCAAGCAAGAATGAAATACACTGTGAACCAATCCTGTCACATGTAATCATGGCTGTTAGGAAGCTGGAGAAGGTGTGTGTATAAGAACCCCTGTATCTATGTATGTTATATACTGTATATACGACTTATTTATTCCATCGGAGGAGATTGGTTGTTTGGATGTGTATTTAATGCCTAAAAGTGATTGAATTGAGAGACTGTTGTTGTACCTGCAAATGCTATTTTGATGTTAACATCAGCCACAATATTGTGTCCTCTAAAATATGTTATTTGAGCTGGCGACTGTTATAAAGAAAATCATGCTATGAACATTATAGGTTCAGGTGAGGTGATGAACAATTGGTTAATGAAATGAATTGGAAGTGATTGTTATGGTGTATGTTACTTGGTATATTACGAGTGTATGACACTTGGTATATTACGAGTGTATGACATGTACCATACTGGCCCAGGTATCAGAACTCTCCCTTGTTACTTGGTTATCACAAAAGCTCAACATGTACCAGAGCAGGGCCAAACTCTCCCCTGTTACTTGGTATATTATAAAAGTAAACTTGTACCAGAGCAGGGCCAAATGCTGCCTTGATACTTGGTATATTATGAAAATATAACTTGTACCAGAGCAGCCCGAGCAGGGCAAAACTCGACCTTGTTTGTGACATAGCAGGGCTCAGGACCTTGTTTGTGACATAGCAGGGCTCAGGACCTTGTTTGTGACATAGCAGGGCTCAGGACCTTGTTTGTGACATAGCAGGGCGCAGGACCTTGTTTGTGACATAGCAGGGCTCAGGACCTTGTTTGTAACATAGCAGGGCGCAGGACCTTGTTTGTGACATAACAGGGCTCAGGACCTTGTTTGTGACATAGCAGGGCTCAGGACCTTGTTTGTGACATAGCAGGGCTCAGGACCTTGTTTGTAACATAGCAGGGCTCAGGACCTTGTTTGTAACATAGCAGGGTTCAGGACCTTGTTTGTAACATAGCAGGGCTCAGGACCTTGTTTGTGACATAGCAGGGCTCAGGACCTTGCTTGTTTGTAACATAGCAGGGTTCAGGACCTTGTTTGTGACATAGCAGGGCTCAGGACCTTGTTTGTGACATAGCAGGGCTCAGGACCTTGTTTGTGACATAGCAGGGCTTATGTATTGGAGACTATCCACCTTTGGTGTATTACTGGAGTACTACATTTACTGTAGCAGTACTCAATTATCTAAACTTACCCCTTGTGACTTAAAATCATCGTCATGTTCCTGTTTGGACATGTTGTTTCCTCAGTGATATCTGATTTCTGGTCCTGAATGGTACATATATTGGTTATTAGACTTCTGAGTGCTATTTGTTGATTGATTGATTGGAAAACTTTTTTTGTAAAAGATCTGCTTGCATATGAAATATTTATTGTAATGAGGTAGCTATTTGTAATATACCTTACATGTATAAATAATACAGTTGTGAAATAGTTTCACATTGTTTTAGGCCATGCCTTAGTTCATCACAGTTAGATGTAGTAGTCATTTACCGAGCTAATAGTTTTACATTTCATTTTGTTTTTACTTCTTTTTTTCTTTCAGAAATTGATCCAATATGAGATCTGATACCTATTGTAATGTTCATTGCGCCTCACCAATGCAGTTTTGTTGTTTAGTTTTATATTCTTCATTCTTCACTCACTACCTGATTATTTTTCAATTCCGTCCAAAGAAAATGTCTCTTTTGATATGCTCATTTACAACCATCTTAGCATAAAGTCATGTATCATTTTCTTCATTGTTCTTGTTATTAGTATTCACAGATAATTATATTTAGTAATTAGCAACTGTGGAAATAAAAGGATCATTTTGAAATGATTTAACAAAGATGATTGTATGTGTGATTAAATGTTGATACCACATAGACAAACAGACACTGCCAAATATTATGTATCAACTGGGCTGTATTTAAGAGGGGGATGTCTTGCAATGTTTGCAGTCATATGTTATTATCCTGATGAGGCGCAGACTTCTCATTTCAAAATGTACTGTAGCACTGGCTATGCATTGATTTGACCCAAGTACCATGTACAAATATTTCAAAGCACTTCATCTCTAAATACAGCCCTGCTTCACGTCTTACGATTCCAGTTATATCCCTTTAACTGTAACTCTTCAAATTACTCTCTGATATAGTTTGTAAGCCTATTTATTATTTTTATGTTCTGTACATGCTATATCTTCTAGGAAACCGACTATTTGTAGTGCAATTTATTTGATTTCTGTACTAATTGAGAGTTTTTGAACTAATGAACAACTGACAAGTGTAGAGGGGTCTAGGCTTTCTGTGGGCTTTTGGTTAGTGTGTATGTGTGTGTGGAGCGAGATATGACCGAGTTATCTCCCCTGGTACATTTTCCCAGGATTGTTTGTATTGGTAAATAGCTATGTGCCATTTAATACTCCTGTCAGCCCCATCTTTAGCACAATGGATTGATGTCTGTCCATTACAACAGTGGGTACTGCCAGGGTATACATGAGAACTCGTATGTAATGTCATATTTAGTTTAAGGCATTTTCTATGTCTGTGGTTTTGTATTTATTTCTCATTATTTATTTACCAGATTTGTACTCCAGTAATTGAGCATTTAGTGTCGTATACTGCAGCATTCGTATCCTGTTTACCGAGCATGCATTTCCATGTATTTTACATACCTACATAGAAAGTGCCTTAACATACCCTTACCTGGTCATTTAGCCACAGGTATGCCAATCCACAAATTTTATTTTGGAGAGAGAAATTCCATTCATACTTTATCTTGTAAGCAACAGTCACTACACTTATGGTCAATATTTTGGAAACAATTGTAGTAGACATCTTAAAGAACTAAAACTTTATTAAAGCTGCTAAAATCTTTGTTTTCCCATTAAACCTCACTGTTAGATATATATACCTAGCTTATTTTTTATTATTGCCATCATTTACAATGTATATGATATCTCAGGTTAGTGTTTATGTACACATCGATATCGTGATACTTAGATTTTTATATAAAAGGAAACCTCATTTCACAAATTTCTAATGATAAATTTATATAGGCCTTCATCCCTGTTAATTTCAATAGGCTAGACCTGTGAATTTCAGGACATGCCTATTGTTTAAGTACAGGTGTGTGAAGGATTGCATACCAAAGTGCACCTGAATGCCTTGTTACTCCCCTCTCTAGAGCTTTGACACACGTTACCCAGGCTACTACATGTAGTGATAGTCTCCCGTTAATAATACTCGAGACATCCTTTTATGCTAGGTTTCAGTTATGTAACTATCCGTAATTAGGGCCTGAATTTAAACGTGATTGTGTAACTCCTAGAAAGTCTGGGGCCTAGTTACGCACCAACGTAGAGTTGTCTACCCTTAACACATTGTGATATAATGCTATTCTCTGGTAATGAAATAATTAAATCTATTTTTTCAACTTTGTACATTTGTAGACAGTCATTTCATTTTTTATTTTTTTTTCAAAACTATGCAAATGTATAACAGTATGACCAAGGGTTGTGGTTCTCTGAAGAGGGGACACAACGAAATAAACATAACAAATGAAATCCTGTGTTTTGTTGTTTTATATGTAAATGTGCAGCACCTCTATTGGAGGGCTTATCAGTGTAAACCTAGCTCTGACCGATAATAGCATGTATTAATACAGAAATATACAGAAAACTACAACAATGTTAATCATAACAAAATATTTTATTATAAGTTGTTTCTTTGGTATAAAGTGCAACCTGATGCTGTCACTACAATTCAATACATCTGGACAGCCTGTGAGGTCATGAAATCTGTTGGGAGATACTGTGTAGCTGTTTCTTCCTAAAGGTATCTCTCAGAAGATACAGACAATGGATAGTTTTACACAAACTCGCACCAATATCAACACTAGAAATTTTAGACATTGTTAAAGACTAGTAGAATCTTCCCCTACCTTGAGGGTGTGACAGAGAAATCTCCAACCCAAGGGGGGATGTTTTTTGGTTGTCTAACCCGAGGCTCTACCTCAAGGTAGGGATGATTATTTTCTCCCATCCTATTATTTCAGTCAAAGCTCCACCGACAGTAGTCTGCCATGTTTGTAAACAAAAACACATGAGGGGTATGCATATCGTCATTCTCTTTTGATGATGTCACAATTACCGATGACGCATTTTAATGACGTCACAATTGAACACGTGCTAATCGGCACGAGGCTATCTCCCCCGAGGGGGTGACAAGCTGATCTTTCCCGGCTAAAACGGGTGACACACCTGTGAAGGGTGGGAGAATAACAGGTCTGATACAAGGTAATTTGATACAGGTGGTCAAAACCATGGCTTCTATCACAAAGGATTCAAATGCTGCAATGTATGTCCATAACATTGAGAGCCGCAGTATGAATGTTTTTTTGGAAAAGATGCTGTAGGATTTACATCTTTGACAAGAACACTTACAAGTGTCCAAAGTAAAACAACACAAATCACTTTTCATGTGTTTACGTTGTGGTAAAAGTTTAGGGGCACTTGTCCATATACTCCCATCTCTTTTCACAGAGTTACTTCCCTTCCACCATTGCCAAAACTTTCCATGTGGACCAGTAATAATTCCACCAAGATACATATACTATATGGAGAAAGAATACCATTATCATTTACTGTATTACAGTAATCTTTCTAATTTATCAATGTGACTTCGTCTTGTCTATAAAGCTAAAACCAGCTATCAGGAATAGGGATGTACATTCGTATACCTCCCCCTATGACATAAGAGGGTATATAGCTATTATTGCGTTAGCTATAGCCCTGATGCATGCATTGTTACACTTTGTCTAGACCATATCGTCAAATTAGTGAACCGTTCCCAATGAAACTAGATAAAGGTTTCATAATACTCAGGTTCATACCTTAAAGGTCGGGGGTTGTGTAACTTTATTAAGTTTATCTGGATTTTATCTTAAAGAAGTTATCAGTACCAGACATCATTTTACACATTGGTCCCTACCCTCAAGGTCATAGTATGGGGTAAAATCTCCAATCATTATGAATGTCTGATACTTATGAAGTTTTACATGTGTGTATCATGAACCTCATTGTGCAGTATTTAGGTTACAATAGAATTAAACGTCAGATCACTGTAATGCTTTTCCTGTAACTCCTGATAATGTTTACATAAGCAGAGAGGAAGTGTTGTGTAATACTTGAATCACAACCTTCTGGTTGAGGGATCAAAGGTCATACCATTGTAATTATAACTTTTGACAACTGCAGTTTTATGAAACATAATGGAAGAGCCTAATACGACCAGAAGAAGCATTCCACGACACGTTTAGGTTATTACATTGTATCAAGAATATCATCTTCCTGCTATGCTGAAGGAATAGTCTGGACTTCTCCGGAGTTGTTAAATTAAACCCCACTGTTATAGACCTCCGTCATTCCCTTGCACAAAATTATAATTCAAATATAGGGAAACTCCATGGATATAATCACCATGCTGATGTTGTGTAATCCCATTTGTACACTCATTAACATATTCATTCAATTTTAAAGGGTTTTGTCCCATTTTCTGATTTCTGTTCAAAGTACTTTGTACGTTCCTTCTAAATCGATTCATACGAAGCTTGTTTTACAGGACTAGTATAACTGTATATCAGGAAATGTTCGTGGGTACTTTCCTTTGTGGTTTGGTGCCATTTAGATCGTTTCGTGTTACAAACCTTCGTGGATATCTATATTTTAACAAACAGTAGACACCTGTATCATTCAAATTCGTTGAATTTATTTTCATGGTTCAACAGCAACCACGAATGTTTACACACAACGAACATTTCATGTCATACTGTATAGGCAGTTGATCCAATTCCTAGGTTTCATTTCAAATGTTTTTACTAGAGAGATTGGAGCGTGCGGCTTACAGAGCTAGTTTGGATTCTCAAACCTCCTATGGTTCAGTAGCCATCATCTGAAGATTCAATACAGTTAACCCTATGAAGTTTGAAAGTAGATAAAGGTTATTTACCCCGTCAAGGTGCAAGTTCAAAGTCAGTCTTTACCAGTTTCAACACATTTGATTGTATATATATGGTTCAAGGTCATCGATTTCAACAAACTTGACAGTCCTTCCACCCAGCAGGTTACAGACCAAATACATTACCCTAAACTTCATGGTGACCATTATGATATTTACAAATCTGATCCTTGTATATTTTGGATAAAAAAATCAGTTCTTTGCCCAGTAGGGAGCTTTTAATAGAACGTCTTCACGCTAGGCCTAGTCATTCCCTAGAAGTTTTCAACACATCAAGTCGGTGACCTTAATTGTTGGTCATTTACGGATAAATTCACCAACTTTGATACCCCTTGCCATATAAAACCTTGATCACTATACACCATCCCATAAATCAGTAGTTCCAAACTTGTGATTGAACGATGCACAGAAAACACAAAAGACTTCCATAAAAGTATAACATATTTATTTCCTCGTATGGTTTCCTTTACAGGTTAAAGAGATTCTAAGGAAAATAATGGTAAAATAACTATGTACAAGTGTGTGTGCTCCAAGGTATTGCAGCTAGATTAATGGTGATCATAAATATATGTAGAATGCTTCTTCATCTCTCCACAGTATTGATGGTGAATATGAAGATATTGGTTCTTAAGCACTCTGTATCAGAATAATAAACAGATTATATCCTATGTGTCCCGGTCTTACTAAGACTTCAACAGTTCACACAGGTATTGGTTGTTAGATGTGATCATGTCGGTCCAATAATGGTATAATAATCACACATCCTAACACGATACAACCATTTCTCTCCACGTATCAAGGTTAAAAACATTTACATTCAAGATGACCCGGATGTGGTTTTCTCAAAAATATCTTTCAACCTTTGCGGAACACTATGAAGTGGTAAACTACATAATTTTATAAACGGCTACTTGATTCACAACCTCTTACAAACTCATTTCTCCTGTCACTCAATATTCCTTTCAAATATTCTGCTCATACACACAAGGATTTACTGAAGTTATTTAAATCATTGATTCACGTGAGAACAATAAAGTGTATTCAATAACTTACCTCCCCTTACTAGCAGACTATTCCAATACTCGAGTAAAAATAGGTGCCAAATGAGGCTTTTGATTTTAAAATTATGATAGCTACATATATTATAGCCAATTTGAACACGTTTACTTCACAGTTTACAAGAAACTGTAACAAAATGTGATAGCTACATATATTATAGCCAATTTGAACATGTTTACTTCACAGTTTACAAGAAACTAACAAAAAGCAAGCTATCCTCAATAAAAATTATTGTGTAGATCCTACAGAATTAAAAAGTTTGACAACTCACATACTGACCAAGTGGGCAAAACACTGAAGTGGCAATTCACACTGGAGACCATCTATAACTCAAGACCATCTATAACTAGTTTTATATTACACTGTAGTCGTCATACTGTATTGTCACATGCTTCCAACTTCTATCAAGTTTGTCATTCCCATACAACACACATCATCAAGCTGTTACGAAAATGGAAGAACTACAAATTCATTCCTCTGCTAGAAAAGAACATTTTTTCTACTGGTATCGCCAATTCAAACAAGGTCAATGTCTGTGTTAACAGTAAGATATCTTTACCAGGCATATTTGTTGTATTCTTTATCTTGTCTTGATGAAAGTTATTGCACAAAATTCTATTTCAACAAAGTCTTGCATTCTTTTTCTCAAACCCGCATAATTGTTCATTTCATTCCATTCATAAACTTTATTTATAAGTCTATTCTTTTAACACCGTCGTTCTGACGATGACTTCTGTGACAGCATATGGGTCACAATTTGATGACGGCCGTCTGTCTTCAAGGTAACCACATCCATCTTCAGCAACCTGTCTCGGAATACGGATACTGGCACCACGGTTGGCAACTCCAGCGGAAAAGTCATGGATACTGGACGTCTCATGGTGACCGGTCAAGCGCCTCTCGTTGTCCTTACCCTCCTTGGGGTCATAAGCCTTGATGTGTCGGACATGGTGTTTGGATAGTAGTTCTATACTCTCCTCAATAGCCCTAGGTAAAACAAAGTCAAAGATTGTGAACAAATTCAATTTTTACAATCCAATAAACATTATAAATATTGAAATGATTTAAAATTAACAAGTCATTCTATTGTTACACAAAATTACTCGGCCAATTACACAACAATGTAGAACACTTGCAAACACAAATTATTTTGTCTTTAAAATAGTTTTGTGGATTGTCAGCGCTGGACTGTAACAGTCTCCAGTCTCAAGAACTCGCCTTTATATACATATAGCCACCATGATTGGAACACTTACTTGATGCCTCCACTCTCCCTCATTTCCAGGGTGCTGTAGTTACAGTGAGCGCCAGCACCATTCCAATCACCCTCAATAGGTTTGGGGTCTAGGGTCACAACAACGCCAAAATCTTCAGCTACACGATGCAACAGGTAGCGTCCCATCCATAGGTGGTCACCCATCTGTATACCTTCACAGGGGCCGACCTGGAACTCCCACTGAAATTCAAAACACACACATGAGGGACCACAGTATAAATGACAACCATCACATACATCAGACCTTTCTCCACAAATCTGTTTTTAAATGCATTGTATTCAATCTTGTTAAGGTAGTCTCAAACAACTTCTTAAAATTAAATTTGAAATTAAAGCTTTAATATCGCTTAACATTTTCACACTTTTTATTTACCTGAGCTGGCATGACCTCTGCGTTACAGCCAGCAATCTTGACCCCAGCGTACAGACAAGCACGGTAGTGGGCCTCGATGATGTCGCGGCCGTACACCTTGTTGGCACCTACTCCACAGTAGTAAGGTCCTGACAATGGCAAAATAACGTCAGTTAAACTAATCTCTCATATGTAAACAAATTGCAACACAAGAGTTACTCAAAAAAGTGAATATGTCTGAAAGTTATATTGATATTTTTTCCCAATGAAACAATTTTGAAGACAGTCTTGCAGTTTAAGATTTCCCCCGTTAAAAAGTTCTAATTATATAACGGACAGCCATGTATATTCTTACCCTGGGGTCCTGGGAATCCATTCTTGGGCCAGCCGAAGGGATGACCGTCCAGGTCCAACAGTGTGTACTCTTGTTCAATACCAAACCATGGAATAGATGCCCTGGCCTTCTCCATCACCGTATTACAGGCTGCCCGTCTGTTGGTTTCTGCAGGTTTTTTGTTGTATTTGTAGACTTCACACAGGACCAGCTTGTGTTTACCTCCTCTAAAAGGATCTCTGAATATACTGACGGGGTGGAGGTACATGTCGGAGTTGGAGCCCTCGGCCTGGTATGTACTTGACCCATCATAATTCCAAATGGGGCAATCTGAAACAGCAGATATTACATGCATTAAGACAATCAACAGGTTTATTAATTATACAGCATACAGTAGGTGAGAAATAAAGAAGCAACCCTCATGATCACTTACAGGAGGTAAACCAAGATTATCAAACCTTACAGGAGGTACACCAAGGGTATCAAACCTTACAGGAGGTACATTCAATATTATCAAACCTTACAGGAGGTACACCAAGGGTATCAAACCTTACAGGAGGAACACCAAGGGTATCAACCCTTACAGGAGGTACACCAAGGGTATCAACCCTTACAGGAGGTTCACCAATGCAAGGGTATCAACCCTAACAGGAGGTACACCAAGGGTATCAACCCTAACAGGAGGTACACCAAGGGTATCAACCCTTACAGGAGGTACNCCAAACCTTACAGGAGGTACACCAAGGGTGTCAAACCTTACAGGAGGTACACCAAGGGTATCAAACCTTACAGGAGATATATATACCAAGGGTATCAACATAAAACAACCTTTACTTACAGGAGGTACACCAAGATCATCAGCAAAACAGAATGCATGCATGCCTGATACCGACTCGTTGGGCATTTCCTCGTTTTAAATGTATAACCTTTAGGCCTATACATATTGGATGATAGGGTCATTATGTTATATAGCCACTGGGCAGGATTGTTATTGTGAAACCCTACAGATGGGTGGGGTTGTTATGGCGGTACGGTTTGAATACGAACAGAGCGACAACAAATGATTAATTTTCATTTTTTGTATTATATATTTGGTTTGAAATCACACAACCATGACAAATCCTCATCAGCTTCATACATTTCTTACTGTTAGAGTTGTCAGTCATCCAAACACAACTCAAGTCACCTTTTAGATACGAGAATCACTGCATGTGGGATTGACTCTAGACTACATGGGATTCTTTTTTTTAGTGTGTTCTGAAATATCCTCTAGATGATATTTGTTATTTACTGCAGTAGTGGTAAGTTTTGTACAATTCCAACCAGTAACTGAAATAGAATTCCTACAGAAGTCCTTTCGACATTTTCATTTTCCAATGGTAAACATTTGTGTGGCTCTCCAAGTCCTATATATACCTACAACCTGTGTGTTCTGGAGTTCATATAGTGATGTAGTTTATGTTGACACAAAATTCCTGCCTGTCAGCTGGAGTTTATACCTTGCTTGGAGCTGTCTTATCAGACTGACCTTGTTGACCAGTGCCCACTGACCCAAACACTTGTTTATCTGTTCAAAGCTGTGCCTCCCTGTATATACACATGCCTCTTGAATTGTTTCAGGACATAAAACAGGACTTTCCTATATGCAAATAGCCTACCAAATTAAATACAAGAGGCCCAGAGGGCCTGTATCGCTCACCTGGATATCTTAAGTAATCATGGCAAAATATTCTCCAAATGAGATCCAAGGGAATACGCCAGACCCCAAGGCCAATCCTCGTAGCATATCTGTATTAGACTTTTCACGCCCAGCAATTTTATGTATGGTTATGGGGTGGGGATCTCAACTGTTTTCAAGCTGTGACTCAGAAATTAGATCCCTAGGGTTGTGGCCAGACCCCAGGATCAATTATAATATCATGACTGCATTTGTCTCTTTTTCCCCAGCATTTGTATATATAGTTTTGGGGTGGGGATCTCAACCGTTTCAAAGTTATGACCCAGTCATTAAGTCTGCAAGAGTGGGGCAGACCCTGAGGTCAATTCTGATATCATGACTGGATTCGTCTCTTTATGCCAGACAAATTTAGTTAAATTCCAATTAGTGGTTAAGAAGAAGTCGTTTAAAGAAAGTGTTGACGGACGGACGACGGACACCAAGGTATGGCATAAGCATAAGCTCACCTTGGTCCTTCGGACCCGGCGAGCTAATAAATGTACATAATTTATTACCATCTTGATAAATGAAATTGAGAATCATTTTTTTTTTTTAACAATTGATAATGTTTATAAGAAAATTCCTTTAGAATCACTGCTCGTCACTCACTGGCCAATCTCCGTGTCTACCATACGTGTTATATCAATTACCTTGCTGACATGACTATACATGCATGTCCACACTTTACACGAACTGACCACCAGCTTTATACATATACCGAACTGACCACCATGGCCAGCGTTATACATATGTTATACATATACCGGGACATCTCAACAAATGAACAACCAAAGCAGCTGATAAGGCACACACACTATCCCACCCCACGTTCATCCACTTAGCCCACCTTGACAGCAGTTTTTTTTTGATAAATTGTTCCACAACATAACACTACTAATATCAATATTATATAAGATGGAAAGGTAGCCTCCTAAGCTTGACAATGAGAAGTCAAAGGTCAAGTAGATATTCTCCCCACCTGGAACATAAGCAGCTAGCACACTTTATCGCGCTTGTTCACCTATAGAGTGAAGCCCTAACTGGTATATATACTGGGCCAAACACTGGGTCCTGATCACAATCTCCAGCCTACAGTGTTCTCCCCAGATTGTTTTGAAAGAAGCATGGTATTTCAATATTTCTGTTAAAGCAGCACTCTATGTAATATCAAAGCAGCATGGTATCTTTAGATTTACTATGAATATATAGCAGAGAAGATCTAGGATAGCAGCATGGCAAGAAATTATAGGAGCATGGTGCCATGCTACAAAAACAGCCTGGGGAGAACACTGGCCTAATAAACAACAACATGTTGACCAAAGCTAGAAACGATATCATGTCACAACATCGATTAAATCCCAAGCCACTTGGAAAGAACATTACATCCCGTTTATTCTAAAGGTTAAAAGGTCCAGTACAACATGACCTTACTGAAGAAGCATGCTGTCATTTACCTTTGGGGTCCTTTGGTTCCGTCTCCAAGGTTCTACACTTGCTTCGTATACCCTCACTAGTACCGTCTATCCAGATGTACTCGGCCATCACTTGTTCTGTGCCGAGGTCAAGGTCAAGGTACTTCTGAAGCACCAACTTATCGGTGGAGGCATTATTCATCACGGCCATTATGATAATGATTCTGAAATAAAAAGAGAAAACAAACCTATACTAGTGTGCCATACATGTATATCTATCTAACCACAGAAATGGCAACGTCCACTGATCACCATCCAGTCTATAGGAACGATTACAAAACAATATAAGTCTAGGTCTTAAACTCTCAACTGTAATAGCACAGAATTAGAATAGATTATCCAAGTCCGTGGTAATAGCTACGATACTCTCAGCAGTGAAATCTTGAATAAGACAGTGAATTTCTAAATATTAAGTTGACCATTTAATATTTGAGTTTTGTCTGACCTTGAATCAAAGTTGGCCTTTGACCTCAACATAATGTATTGGATGGGGGGGGGGGCTGTGCATGGCTGCATGCCTTCATAATAATAAAGCTTTTCATGCATGCTGAAGTTAGACATGCAGGGATGACCATTACACACACCCATACTGATTAACAGGTGGTACCTTACAAGTATAAGGGGTTTTGTTATGCATCTTAAACATTATACTTATTATTTCTATTTCTTTAACATCCATTAAAGGTTGTATTTTTTTTTATCCCTTGAAACAAGTTTTAACTTAACCCAAATTTAATTTACCTCAGTATTATCATTTAATGTCTTAAATCTTTTCATCAGTGAATGCACCATGCACTCGAGTGCCTTTAAAAAGTGCAATAAATTAAATTACCATGAACTCTGGGCCACTTTACTTACAACAAGTGTTTAAGGTGGTGCTCTGTTGGAAAATAGACCTTATCATCTATATCACAATAACTAAGGTAGCATGTTCATTAACATTATGGTTAAATACACATAAATTGACAACAATTTACCAGTAAATTACATGCTTGTATACATGTATTTTGAGCATGCTATCACTAACTACCTGAAGGGCAAAACCTTTCCTCTTCATATAGTTGACAAGTATGTGTATATATTTGCTCCGTTAATTATATATATAACATAATTATATATATGTTCACTGACAAAATCTGTTTCGTAGAAGTATATGTAGTGATAGTTTGTATACGAGTTACTTCCCCTACATCACAGGACTTTTTAGCTCCCAGAAATAATCATAATAAACTTGACGGGAGATACCGTACAGAAACAGACACTGTCCACAGGGTATTAGGTTTGGCTAATCAGTAATTATCTTTTTATTCTTTGTATTAAACAAATTAAAGCTGACCATCCTCATACATAAAACGTCACAAGATAAAGTTCATCATTTTTTGTAACGCCCACTATATATATATGCAAACGGAAAAACAATTTTGTATCGGTACTGTTAGAGACGTATATATTACGTAATATATACGTCTCTGGTTTTGTGTAGTCGTTTACGTCGACCTTTTGACATATTATTACATAAAAGATGTTGACTTTTACAAGTCAGCTTGCTTGCTTGCCTTGTAGGTGAAGATGCACATCAGAGTTTTGGATATATGAAGTTATTATTAATCCCGTTTTACACATTAAATTGATTTATTGCATTCAATACTTATAGTTTTCATATACTATTAACTATTTATTATATCTATTGGGCGCTGTTAATATTTTAAACGTTGGAAAAGATTTTGTCAAACGGTGTAATTAATATATATTCTACACAATTAAAAACTTTCACGGGTTCACAAGTAGTTTCAAGATACCATGACACTCAATTTACCAAAGAATGCGATGAAAATATGGGAATTTTCCCAGTGTTTTGCTAGTGTGAGTCGACCCTCACCTTCTCGCTCTCCGTCTCAACATAATCAGCTGATTCGGGAAAATCAATAAATGTACACTTCACAGATATCAAGGAAGACACAGATTATAAAGCGACGCACAGTTAATAAACACATATGCGTTCTAAAATCAAACCAACATATCATCAAAAACTATCTGTTCGAGATCTATCAAAATGGGCTTACCTTATAGAAGCGTCACTCTCAGTTGCTTGTCAAAGAGATTCTCCCGCAGAAAAAGCGAGATCACGCTGTATTATCAACTAGTCCTCCGTGAACAGACCTCTCTCATTGGTTCTTTTTGGCACGTGACGATTTCCATTGGTCGACCTATATTCTATTCTTAACGATGTCACGTGCCGGGAGATTGGTTAGAAAAAGGGAAAACTTTACTAGATCCAGGGACGTATAGTATATACTGTACCTGCTAGATCGTACGTTAGGGACTTGACAGGGTATAGAAAATGATTTTACGATACTGCATATACGTGAACATCTGAATGTGTTGACCCACATAGGATAGATATTTGTGTTTGTCCTACTTTCGTTTCATAGTTTCGGTTCAGCACGTGTTTTTCACGTGACAGAAGCGTTTTTATATGAACAAAATTTACCGTGACCCTGACACTGCAGGAAAATCGCGTACATGTAAACTTTATACTTTTTACCGAATCTATAGCTAGCTTATATAGGAATAATAAGTATATATACCTCCCTGGGGTATACCACGGACTTAGATAACCTAATTCCGTGGGTATACTTATATATATATGCAAGCCTAGTTATTTTTGGAAGAATGTTTACAGGGAGGTGCACACAGTTGTGGTACGTGTTGTATATTTTCCATAACGAATATGTATAGTGCCTATTTTAATATTTCTCAAGTATACAGATACCTATATATATATATGTGTGTGTTATATATGTATGTATGTGTGTGTATGTGCACGTTTGCATCGATTTATACATATACGATCAAAACACACATGTTCGAGTTAGGAACACAAAATCGGAAGTTGTATCGGCATATATAGCCCCTACAGTGGGGATATTTAGCTCGGTATTCGCTTTAATACGACCATATTGATAGAATTTTAATCTTTTATAACAACACATTGTTTTGTCTCCTACTAAATTAAGGTGCTTTATCACGCCAACAGGCTGTTATTTATTAGTTCGCCGAACACCTCAATGCAGCATTTTTTTTCGGTCGGTTTAAACAAATTTCTCCTCGTTACCTTTACTTCAATTCAAGTCTTTCCCAGATCGAATGGAAAAAATATTACGAAAATCTATACCTATCTATTAATAACTGAGAGATGTAATGCACAACGGAAAATACCATATTAGTAATGCACTATAAATACACGGGGATTTTCTGAATGATTTGTCACTAGATGTTCCTATAAATATACACGTGTAAAGTTTAATTTACCTACATAAAGTATGTGTAGGGCAAAAGACTATCCATAATAGGTAATTGGTCTCGTTATAGACAGGTTATTATATAATTATCTCGTTATGGTATATAGAAAACGGTCTCGTTATAGACAGGTAATTATATAATTATCTCGTTATGGTTTAGAGAAAACGGTCTCATTATAGACAGGTAATTATATAATTATCTTGTTATGGTACAGAGAAAACGGTCTCATTATAGACAGGTAATTATCTCGTTATGGTATAGAGAAAACGGTCTCATTATAGACAGGTAATTGTATAATTATCTCGCTATGGTATAGAGAAAACGGTCTCATTATAGACAAGTAATTATCTCGTTATGGTATAGAGAAAACGGTCTCATTATAGACAGGTAATTATATAATTATCACGTTATGGTATAGAGAAAACGGTCTCGTTACAGACAGGTAATTATATAATTATATCGCTATGGTATAGAGAAAACGATCTCATTATAGACAGGTAATTATCTCGTTATGGTATAGAGAAAATGATCTCGTCATAGACAGGTAATTATATAATAATCTCGTTATGGTATAGAGAAAACGGTCTCATTATAGACAGGTAATTTTATAATTATCTTGTTATGGTATAGAGAAAATGGTCTTGTTATAGACCGGTAATTATATAATTATCTTGTTATGGTACAGAGAAAACGGTCTCATTATAGACAGGTAATTTTATAATTATCTTGTTATGGTATAGAGAAAACGGTCTCATTATAGACAGGTAATTTTATAATTATCTTGTTATGGTACAGAGAAAACGGTCTCATTATAGACAGGTAATTATATAATTATCTTGTTATGGTACAGAGAAAACGGTCTCATTATAGACAGGTAATTTTATAATTATCTTGTTATGGTATAGAGAAAATGGTCTTGTTATAGACCGGTAATTATATAATTATCTTGTTATGGTACAGAGAAAACGGTCTCATTATAGACAGGTAATTTTATAATTATCTTGTTATGGTATAGAGAAAATGGTCTTGTTATAGACCGGTAATTATATAATTATCTTGTTATGGTACAGAGAAAACGGTCTCATTATAGACAGGTAATTTTATAATTATCTTGTTATGGTATAGAGAAAACGGTCTCATCATAGACAGGTAATTTTATAATTATCTTGTTATGGTATAGAGAAAACGGTCTCATTATAGACCGGTAATTTTATAATTATCTTGTTATGGTACAGAGAAAACGGTCTCATTATAGACCGGTAATTTTATAATTATCTTGTTATGGTACAGAGAAAACGGTCTCATCATAGACAGGTAATTATATAATAATCTCGCTATGGTATAGAGAAAACGTTCTCATTATAGACAGGTAATTATGTAATTATCTTGCTATGGTATAGAGAAAAGAAACAAAGTACCAGATCAAAGGTCAATAAACTAGGAAAGTTATCCTGAACATCCACATAAAAGGGAGACGAAGCCAGTTTTTTCCGAACGATGCAGTCCTAGCACCACATGTGGTTCCTATGGTGATGAATTATGGACAAGAAATTGGCGTGAAAAGGGGACGTTACGATGACATTTTCTCTCTTAGTTAACTAGATAGTGTACGATGACCTGCTGGATATGTCCGACTTGACGGTCCTCTCCGACCTACTGTGATAGTAGTGTATATCTGACTTTGTTATCTCTATATAAGGACGGTGACTTTACATATAGATATATAGATGACACAGATTCCTGATATAAATGTATAGCATGTGCGATCAGACTGATTTAGATAAAGAAGGGTCAAATTAGTACAACCTAATACATAAGGAGTGCGGAATTTTACTATTATCTCATAGACGCTTCTCTATATATAACCTAACCCAGTTCCACCCCTTTATATATAACCTAACCCAGTTCCACCCTTTATATATAAGCACTCCTCAGTCTGCCATTGTTGCTATACTTGTTACAAAAGGATTTACACTAAAATTATCCTAGTGGTAACCTATTAAGGTGTAATACCCACATTAGATAACATTAGTTCATTGCTCTGTCAAGGCCTACAGTGAAACGAGATTAGTCTGCGGAACGAGATTAGAGGACCGTATGCCCTAGGACAGGACGATAACCCCTGGTTCAGGTTATTGTATAGGCAAACACTCGACTGTCTCGTGCGACATCAGGGTGGATGACGTCAGTACACATACATGGATATTGGACATTGACCAACTTTCTATAAACATGTGTATATTATATTTTCCCATCGTTTTAATAAACATTTTATTCATGATTTAACAATTAGCTCTACATCAGTTACGTTACATGAGAGACCTATGACGTCATATGTGCATCACATCACGCTCTGATCTCACAGTGTTACTAACTTTGTATTAATGTGGCCGCAATTCCATTTTTTTATCAATCTCTAATATACTGATGAGCAGACCAATGAGGCTGTGTTGTTCCTCGACCGACATCTCACCGGTATAGAAATATATCACGTGGTTATAAGGTACTGCATAGACATCTAACAGTACAGACGGCATTATTTGCAAGTTTTCAAGCACATGTTCACACCCAATGATAGTAACGTAATGATGTATACAGTCTGTGGTAGTAACGTTATGATGTCTACAGTCTGTGGTAGTAACATTATGATGTCTACGGTCTGTGGTAGTAACGTACTGATGTCTACAGTCTGTGGTAGTAACGTAATGATGTATACAGTCTGTGGTAGTAACGTAATGATGTCTACTGTCTGTGATAGTAATGTAATGATGTCTACAGTCTATGGTAGTAACGTACTGATGTCTACAGTCTGTGGTAGTAACGTTATGATGTCTACATCACGTGGTAGTAACATAATGATTTCTACAGCCTGTGGTAGAAACGTAATGATGTCTACAGTCTATGGTAGTAACGTAATGATGTCTACAGTCTGTGGTAGTAACGTAATGATGTCTACAGTCTGTGGTGGTAACGTAATGATGTCTACAGTCTGTGGTAGTAGCATTATGATGTCTACAGTCGGTGGTAGTAACGTAATGATGTCTACAGTCTGCGGTAGTAACGTAATGATGTCTACAGTCTGTGTTAGTAACGTTATGATGTCTACAGTCTGTGGTAGTAATGTAATGATGTCTACACTCCGTGGTAGTAATGTAATGATGTCTACAGTCTGTGGTAGTAACGTAATGATGTCTACAGCCTGTGGTAGTAACGTAATGATGTCTACAGTCTGCGGTAGTAACGTGATGATGTCTACAGTCTGTGGTAGTAACGTTATGAAGTCTACAGTCCGTGGTAGTAACGTAATGATGTCTACAGTCTGTGGTAGTAACGTTATGATGTCTACAGTCTGTGGTAGTAATGTAATGATGTCTACACTCCGTGGTAGTAATGTAATGATGTCTACAGTCTGTGGTAGTAATGTTATGATGTCTACAGTCTGTGGTAGTAACGTAATGATGTCTACAGTCTGTGGTAGTAACGTTATGATGTCTACAGTCTGTGGTAGAACGTAATGATGTCTACAGTCTGTGGTAGTAATGTAATTATGTCTACAGCCTGTGGTAGTAACGTTATGATGTCTACAGTCTGTGGTAGAAACGTTATGATGTCTACAGTCTGTGGTAGTAACGTTATGAAGTCTACAGTCCGTGGTAGAAGCGTTATGATGTCTACAGTCTGTGGTAGTAACGTAATGATGTCTACAGCCTGTGTTAGTAACGTAATGATGTTTACAGTCCGTGGTTGTAATGTAATGATGTCTACAGTCTGTGGTAGTAACGTTATGAAGTCTACAGTCCGTGGTAGAAGCGTCATGATGTCTACAGTCTGTGGTAGTAACGTAATGATGTCTACAGTCTGTGGT